TCCGGACAGCAACTTATCTGCCCTTTCTCGTTTCTGCAGAGGAAGAGTCAGCTCAGCCCAAATTGCCGATGCTCGAGCTGACCCTTTGTGCTGGTAACGTGCCTTTGGTGGCTCAGATGTCGAGCTGGACAGGCCGTGCCTGCCAGCAGAGGAGAGATGCCCGCTCTCCTCGCTGTCACACAGCTCCGGCTCTCCCGAGAGAGCGGACACGAGGATCTCACGAAAGCCTCCTCTTGTAGACAGGGATGTGTCCCAGCGCGGGCAAAGCCCCTGCTGCACGGGCTGAAGCTCGCAGCTGCGGAGCCAGGGAGCCGGGGAGCCGGGGAGCCAGGGAGCCAGCATCGCAGTGCCAGCTCTAGCGGGAGGGCTTTCATCTGACACAAGGCGGATGTCACGCATTCAGAAGAGTTAGTCATGTGGGAAAAAGGCTGCTCGGGGGATTAAAAGGACTATTTGCTCAGCCCCCAGTTCGAAGCACGAGGAAGAGGATGGGGGATTTCCCCCCAGCGATGCCCAGGTGCAGCCGGGGCAGCACGGCCCCTCTCCAGGCACTTCTGCAGGGAGATGTGCGGAGGGGCTGAAGCCACCCCTGGGCTGTTCGCTGCCTCCACAAAGCCACTTTACGGGAGTCCTCAGAGCAAGGATTTGCCAGGTATTTAACTGAAGCGAGCTGCTCTTTGGCAAAGGGCAGAGGAATGGCAGAGCGGGGCCGCAGCCTTGTGCAGGCGGTGAGGTGGCTCTGCCCCGGCAGCTCGCTCTCCCTGGGGATGCTCCAGGACAGGCAATCCCGGCGCCGCGCAGCCCCTCAGAGCCCTTCTCCACAAAGTGGCCACTGACTAAAGCTTCTGTCCGTCTTTTATGCACTAGGCAGAATGACAAAAGTGTGACAGAGAACTTAAACAGCGCTCCTGTGTGGAAAATTTGTCCTGATAATGGCATTTTAAGCCATTTAAGGGTGTGTGGTGCCCAATACACAACATAGAGGGTTTTATTGAGGCATGTCCTAACTGCAATTCTCTGTTATTGCAGTCCCAGATTCATAGCACAGCTCAGCCAACAACATGAGTGGTGAGGCAGAAAACTGCCTTGATAGAGCCAGAGTACAGATGAATATCGGTGGGCAGCTCTTTCAGCAGATGTCAGACAACTCGTTCCCTGGGGACAGGACTGGGAGTGCCAGGTAGGAGCTGGGAGCCGCAGCTCCCGCTGCAGACAGGAGGGGTGGAGGGGAGAGCTGGCACACGGGAGGAGAAGGAGCCTGTGTCAGCATGTCAGGTTACAGGCAGCCTTTGTGCTGTGGCAGTGGCAAACTGACACAGCCCTTTGCTCCTGCCAAGCAGGCTGGCTGCCATCGCACACAACAACGGATTTCACTGAGACACGGTTTAAACCCTCAGCTGCTCTTCCATCACCCAAACCCATGGCTGCTGTCTTGCTGCCCTTGGAGGTTTGAATTTCCTGAAAAGGCTCAAGGGAGTTCCCTTTCTCAGCTGTTTATTGTTCCCTTTTTGCTGTGGTATAACTGTCTTCATGCTCTCATCAGCTTTCCAGACCAGATTGAAGGTCCACCACAAGAAATGCTCCTTACCCAAGCGTGGATGGCCATCACCATCTCTGGCTATATAAATCAATCCCAGCTAAGAGCCTGGCCAATCTGCAGAAAGCCTGCTGTGCTAATAAGGCTGACACAATCAAGTCTCTGTTAGCCCAGAGGTTGGTCGGGCACCAGAACAGGCTGTCCAGGGAAGTGATCACAGTACCAACTCAGTCAGAGTTCAAGAAGGACCTGGATAACACTCTCAGGCACATGATGTGAGCCTTGGAGCTGTCCTGTGCAGGGCCAGGAGTTGGACTTTGATGATCCTTGTGAATCCCTTCCAACTCAGGATATTCTAGGATTTTATGGTTCTATTAATCTATTGTCTCCCATGTCTTCTCAATGGGAGCAAATCCATCTATGCAGGTTTGATATGCTTGAGGCTCAGTGACTCCTCAGTGTTCCAACACAGCTTTTCAAAGTGTGGCTTTGTGCTAATTCATCTTACAGCTTATTTTTTCTCTTGTGTAAAAGCAATGGCAAGGAAGGTGGAATGCAATTATTGTGTTATTCCTCAGATATGATAGCAAGATTTGCATTTAAGGCGACTCAGAGGTGATCTTATCACTCTACAACATCTTGAAAGGTGTTTGTAGTCAGGTGGGGGTTGGTCTGTTTCTCCAGGGAACAACTGACAGAACGAGAAGACACAGTCTCAAGCTGTGCCAAGGGAAATATATGTTTGTTATTAGAAAAAAGTTTTTTACAGAAAGAGTGATAAAGTACTGGAATAGTTTGCCCAGGGAGGTGGTGGTGTCACCATCTCTGGATGTGTTTAAAGAAAGACTGGATGTGGCACTCGGTGCCATGGTCTAGTTGAGGTGTTAGGGCTGGATTGGATTAGATGATCTTGGAAGTCTTTTCCGACCCAGTGATTCTGTGATTTAGGTATGCAACAGAAAAGAACTTAGAAATAGGGCTGAGAATTTGCAGCATAATTCAGCATTCAGCAGCAATGGAGCTGTTCCATTTCCAGCTCGCTACAGTGCTTGCACACACATTTAAATGCAGGTGCAGAGGCAAGCCCTATACAAAATGAGGGGACACCCTTCTCTGCCCTACAGGTATCCCCTAGAAGTATTCTGTCATTTGGGGGCTCCTGAGTGGTGCATGTCCCCCTTGGGGTTTCAGGCTGTGCAAGGACAGGTGGCGGCAGCAGGCAGGAGCGAGGAGCAGAGCTGACTCCTGCACCATGGCAAGGAGGTGACAGCTAGCAGGGCTGCCTCTGGACAAGGAGAGCACTGTAAAGGGGGAAAAATAACACCTGCATGTAAAAAGGGAGTTTTGAATCAGCTAGCCCTGTTTCAGTACCCTAAAAAGTACCCAGTTCAGTGATTGTGCAATTAACTTGCCAGCACAGGAGAGAAAATAGGAGAGTTGAAGTGAAGGGTCAGCATAGTCCCTGTTCTCTACTGGGGAAGAGGAAATCAAGATAATAATAGGCATAATTCTCTGCTCTAACAGACAACAGCTGAAACAACAGCACAAAAACCTTTCATCATTTCACCGTGTGACAGTCTCAGTGGCAAATTGAGAAGCAATGAGCAAGACAAGAATCACAAAAGACACATAATTACTTAGTAAACAGGCTCTGTGGTTCCCAGTCAAGAAGAGGGGTCATTTTAATACCTCTCCTGGGCTTTACTGTATCCCATATCATCTGGATGTGGGAAGAGAATATCTATCTATTAACAGGTTTTTGGGCATTGCCAAGCACTGCCAAGGGAGACCTTCAAAGCATTACAATTCCAAATGATCATAAAATTTTGAAAAAATGGACTGAAATCAGTGTGATGTGCTTCAGCCCAGACAAATTTACAATGCAGTAATTGCTGTCACCCTAGAACCAGATGTACAGAGAGAAAAAAGGGAACGGCTGAGCAAGCAGCACTACCAGAAAGGTCTCAGCTGGAATACCAGTTGATGTTGGCTAATGTTGCCAGAAAGAAAGTGTGTATCAGTAAGGCACTGGATGTAAAATGTTCCATTAATTGGATTCCTGATCACTGATACAGTTTCAGCTGTTTGCAGGTATGGACACCATCACTAAGGAAGCACAAAATGTGGCAAGTCTGGATGGCACCAAGATCAACATGAAATTTAGGGAACACGACCTCTGGAGAAGGGTTGAGTGAATGTTGTTAACTTTCACTCAAAAAACCCCAGTTGTTAGAGGATTGCACATGGATGTGAGAGATCAGTCACCCCTGGTCTGCAGGACGTGGGTACCACAAGATGTTGAAGCCAGGTGTTTCCTCAAGGTCCCTGGTTTCTGGCTGTGCTTGCCAGGTGCTTGTTGCTGGTGGCCCTGCTGAGGCTGTGCTGGGTTCCCAAGGGTTCCTGAGGACTGGACCTTCCTCTCCAGCAAGGAAGGGGCTGATTCCTGCTGCTCCCAGGGAGGCAGACTCATGGTGGTTTCAGAGAAACTCTGCTGGGAATAGGAAACCAACCCTGTGGATGTGGCTTCAGAGTTGCATCTCAAAACAAACCCCCACAAGACCCAAAACAAAACCAACCTAGTGATCCTGAGCAGAAATAGGCTAATTTAAAAAATACTAAGGCATTGTCTGATCGATAACACTCAACCCAAGCTGCATTTCCAGAGCGAATTCATGCATTGATGTTCCCATTGATTTGCAGTAACTGCTGAGGTAGATTAGCAAAGGTATTTAAATATTAAGATGGAGTCATTTTAGTAGCCTTAGTCACCTTAGTACTTAAACCCAGTTGATTTATATTTCAGATTAGGTATTTACACAATGTGCTGTGATCTCATAAAGTCTCTTGCTGCTTTTTGGTGGCTCAGTGAACGCATTTAAAATTCAGGTTTTATATCTCCTGATTGCTTTGAAAAGGAGGAATGTTCCCTGAATCACCTGGGCTTTGCAAAGCCTTTAACAACATGGCCCTAAATAACCAACCAGGTACCCTATCACAGACTAACTGGAGTTTCTTCCTGCCTGGGAGTTAAGGTTCTTGGCTTGCTGTTTCAGTGAAATCTCTAAATATTTTTACAGCCTGTCACCAACCTGTTAAAGGATTGACAGAACCTGAGCTACCAGAGACACGGGTAGGCTATAGATAAAGTGACCAGCTGTATCATTGACAGCACACTTGGGAAACATTAACCAAAACTAAAAGCCTTTTATAAGAAGGCTATAAAATGGCAGGAGTAATTATGTTTTTCCAAAGTTAATAATTGACTTTTGTTTATTTGGCTTTTTTATAAAAAACTTTTTCCTTTCTCTCCTATAATGAATAAAACCTATAAAAGGTCCAGCAAATTGGATTCAGCCTTTCTTCTTCACCGTGACCATGCTTGAAGGCTGATGAGGCAGAGGCCAACAGAGAAGCTTACCTGAGGAAACCTACTTGTTGAGAGGTTCTCATGCTGAACATGAATATGTTGGTCCACTTCTGGCTTCTCTGTGGCCTGAGTGCTGTTGTGGCCCCTCAGAATGTCACACAAGAAGCCCAAGAGTTTTTAGAAGAGTTTAACAGGAGAGCAGAAAATATCAGCTATGAGAACTCCATTGCGTCATGGAACTACAACACCAACATCACTGAGGAGAATGCCAATAAAATGGTAAGTGCTCCATCCTGCAGGTTTTACTGTTCTCTTAGGAATCTGACACTTTCTGTTTTGTTTTGGTTCCACCAAGCTTGGCTGAAGTTGGAGTGTTACTTCTCTGGTAGCTGTGCTTCATTTTGGGGAGGGTAAAGGGCCTTGCTGTAATGTAGCAATTCAGATGTGCCTGGGCCACTACCAGCCTCTACAGCCTTGGGTTAGTACCTGGACTACCTGCACTGCACAGGGATGTCCAGAGGCTGGACTGTCCCTAGCCATCACTTCAGGTGAGTGGAGGGAAAAGGCAAGGGAACACTGCACATTCATCCTCAAAGTCTGTGTTGGATGGGGGGAGATGCTTTCTTCTGCTAAGTCCAACACCACCAGTGCCTCCTGTGTAGTGTTTCTCTGTGGAGTTTCCCTTTCCAAAAGCAAAGCATTTCCCTTTCGTCTTGGAGAGAGCATATCCTAAGGGTGAAGATCTTCTCCAAGGGCCTGGGGTAGGTGCTGTCTGTGGTGCAAGGAAACAGGATTTGAATCTTGCACCCTCATGAGTTCAGGTCTTCCACTTTCCTAAGACCAGACAAACACTGGGCTTTTTATTGACACAGGCAGTTGTTTTACTTCTCAGTGAATATGCAAATATTTTCTGGATGCAGGAATTCTGTTAAATGTTTGCTGATGGATTTATATAGCTGCCCACACCAGTTACCCAGTGGTGGACCTTCCCCCTGCCCCCATCACTCTTCTCATAGTCAGGGCTGTTGGTAGACTGCCTGGAGGTATTAGGCTGGGAAAAATGAAGTGAAATCACAGACTAGCAAATGCAGCAGTGGAGTTTCTATTACAATGGTCTTGTATGTTGGTTTGAAAATCCATTTCTGTCTGCAGGAAGGACCACAGCATTTTTACTTATGCTGTCTTCCAAAACAGTTCTTGCTTCTCAACACTAGCCTCTGTCTGCCCCAGCCTTGGGGTCTCTAGGCAAGAACTTGCAGGAGCAGGCAGCCACGGTTACTGATATTGCCATGCCTCGGCTCAGGCTCTTGTAAGCTCAAAGCCTTTCAAAATGAACAAATCCACCTTGAATTTTTCTTTGTTTTGAAGTGGCATATTTTTTAAAGTTAACTCAAGCCTTAGAGAAAACAATTCAGAGCATAAAAGCGAAGTTGAACATCCTAAATCTATTTTTGCTTAATGGCTGGTTTTTCACTTTGTGGTCATATAACTTAATTAAAACATGTTTTAATTATCATATTTCTTAATTAAAGCAAGGAGACTGTTTGCTGGAAGAAATCCTAATGACTAATCATTGTCAATCTGGAATTTTTTCCAAGGCACCAGATACTTAAACTGTAATGTTTCCAAACACATAAAATGAAAGACCTATATAGTATTTTCAGCATTAATGAGATGATAATAAAATACATGAGGAGATACCAGCAATAAAAACCAATTAGTCAAGTGTTCAGAGAGAACTTTTTCTCTCTCTTGATCTCTTCAGCAGCACTGGTAATAAACCCACTGTTTCTCCTCCTCACATTCTGCTGGAGGAGAGTTAATGAATACTGTCCCTTCTGGCTCCTTCACATCCATTTTCCTTGTAAATTGTGTCATAAGCCCTACAACTATTCCTCTGACTTATCAACCAATTCCTCTAGTTGTGGAAATATCAGACAGCAAGACAACTGCTTTCCCCTGGCTCTTGTAGCCAATGATCCCCCTCTTCTGCCCTGCCAGTCCTGAGGCCTCTCTGTTCCTGCTCAGGACAAGGAGCTCAGGAACACATTAGCAGTGTTGCTCTTCCTTTGGGTGCTTATCAAGCTCTTGCCCACTGAGCTCTGCAAGCTGCTGAGGAGTGTTAGCACTGTTTGTTCCCATGAAGGGGAGAGTTTGGAAAGCCTCCCAGTGATGGCTAGGATGGAGGAGATGTGGGGCTGGGATTACCATGGGTTTCTCTGCGACCACCCCTCTCTGCTGGAGCCTGGAGCAGTGGGTGCTGTGCCCGTCACACATGGGGCTGAACAACTCTGGTACAGCCCTGCAGAAGGTGTTGGTCTTAGTGGTGTGTCTGCACAGGGGCAAAGGGTGCCTGAAAGAGCTCTTCAGTTTTACAGGTGTTACAGGTGCCCAATCCACGAGCTGGGAAGCCCTAGCATAAGCACAATTAAATAAACTCTCTCAAGGACCCAGGTTAATTGGTACTGTTCTTGTTGCCATTTGGAATGTTGCTGTGTACAAACACATTAGAAAAGGGTGAATAAGACAGTCACAACTCCAAATTGTGTTCTAATGCTGCTGCTTTGTGCACTGAAATTTGGGAGTTTCACATATCATGGTCTGTAATTGCAGAAGTGTTAAAAGCAATGTCCAATCTGGGCACCTGTTTAGAGCCTCCTTTGCCTAAGTATAATCTTTTATTTGCCAGCATTTCAGAAGAAAGTGATATTTGCCTTAAAAACAGACTCAGTATCACTGTCTTGCCTGTTGAGTGTTCCTGCTACTGCAGCAGAAATGGGGATTGACATCTGGGTCACAGATCTCTTTGTGCCCTGGCTTATTTCCTAACTAGTGGGTGAAGAAAAGCATTAAGGGAAGAAAACGTGATTTAGAGTAGGAGAAGACACAGCAAAGTGATGCTGGATCAATTATAACAAGCAAGGTGTGCATAGACAGTCATGCTTTTTGTTATTCCCAAAGAAAAATGGTTATCTGGATGTGTGAATAAAACAAAGCCAAAAATCTCTCTAGCCATTTCATCGTGAAGTGCAAGTGCTCAGCCCACAATCATGGGTGTTCTTCAGCAATAAAGCTCTTCCTAGAAGTGATATTTTTGCCCACTGAGTGCATCAGACCACTCCACTCCTTTGGAGGGATTAATTCAGGGTTGTGTGAACCCCTTGCAGAGCCAGGCAGGTGCCAAGTGGTCCGCATTTTACGAGGAGGCCTCCAGGAATGCCAGCAACTTCCCAGTAGACAGCATCACAGATGACCTCACCAAGCTCCAGATCCAGACTCTCCAGGAAAGAGGATCATCTGTGCTATCATCAGAAAAATATAACAGAGTAAGTTGTTGAATGTAGTTCATCATTTTTGGTGGGTGAGTTCAGCTGCCTCACATAACACCCTCAAGCCTGGCATGGTGCTGTCACCACCCTGCTTGTTTTGGGATGATGCAGTGTATGGTATGGAAGTGTACCTGTTCTAGGTGCTCACAGCAATACTGTGGTGGGGTAGTCCGTCCTAGGAAGCTTGTTGCTGTTTCTGTCAGCAGTTTTGTTGTGGAAAAAATTTCAAACACGCCTCAGAGCAGTCCTTGCACTTATAGATGGATCAGCCATAAAACCGAGAAAGGAATGTGGTAAGTGCTTGGTGAAGTCCAGACCTAGGGCAAGGAGCAGAAAGAGATGGGTAAAAGGCCATTCAATGAGTCAAAAACGTGGAGATGGAGGAAGTCTTTCTTTCTCTGAACATAGTACATTATCACATTGTGAAAAAGAAGGAATATTTCATTGCACTGGCCACCCTGGGATGCCTGAAAATGGAGAGGGTTCCACAGAAAGCTGATGAAGGGCAGCAAGATTTGGCAAGAGTCATAATGATATTTAACATTTGCACTGACAAAATCACCTAAGAGGCAGGTATATGGATAATGACTCTATGTGAAATTGGAGTGAGCTGCTATGCAGACTCAAAAGGAATTTATAACCATATACTCGAGAGTTAAATTGCTTTCCCTTTGCTGAAGATCAAATTGAAACATAGCGTTGAGTCATGGGAACCAACAGTCCAGGATCCTACAGTCCTAACTACAGAAGAATGGTGAGATTTTTCTGCTAAGGTCAGCAGTGCTAATCACCATGCAAGGGAAGCAGCAGATTGGCCGGATCTCTTGTCTGATCCAAATATGATACATTTCTGAAAAAGAGATTGTCTTGGTGGGTATGCTGACAGTTCATACAAAAGTATATTTATTTTGGATCACAACAGTGCACCAATGTTGATGTTGTCTCTGTTGAGGATGTATGTTCTTCAGTACCCTCCCTGTTTAGGTACTTAGAATTTCCTAGATAATGGCCTTTGGGGCTGAAGTCGTTGATTCATGTTGGAAAGTGACTTTTTTATACAGTCTGATGGGGTTCCATAGGAATATCTAAGTATTCTTCACTGACACAAATTTTGCCTGGACACTGATTTATTTTAATGCTGACAGAGGTAGATTTAGAGCTACTAACTACCCCTCCCACTGACAGCTTTCAAGTTCTAATTTAAAGCTCTAAGTGAGAAACTGCATAGTCCTATAGGGAAAGCTAAAAGTTATACACATTTTCCTTGAGGCATGAAGATGTGAAAACATTAAAAAATGTTTAAAACAAAGCTATGTAGCATAGGTTCTGAGATAGAGCTGAATGATTTCAGGTGCATTTTGGCCTTCAGCTGGCCCATGACATGAGCCACAGCTTCTCAGTGATGGAGTCCAAGCAGATCCATGCAATTAGTGGGATGTGATGTAAACACCCTCAGGCAACAGTCATCCTGGCAGCACCTGCCAAAGGGGCCCTTTTTGCTGCCACTCAAAGCCACAACCTTCCTGCAAAGTTTATGTGGGTTCATGCTTATGGAAGCACATTGATATACTTTATTTTTTTTACTGGTGCTGTGCATTGACAGCTCTCTTGTGACAGTCAGTGCTCATTGAATCCAGAGCTGTGTCTGACTGGATATTAAGAACCTGCAGGTTTATGTCATATTTTTTGGGAGATTATCTGTCTTTTCCAGCTAGGTCTGGTTCAGTAATGCATTTAGGCAAATTCTTTCATTAATCTGTCCTGAGCTCAAACATATGCTTAAATATTAAGCTGGTGGGTGAAGTGTTGATTCTAGCTCTTAAGGAATTAGCATAATTGGCTGTTATTTTACACAGAGTGTTTCTAACAGGCTATCTTGCATCTAACTTGCAGCTGAGCACTGTGCTAAATACAATGAGTACCATCTACAGCACTGGGACTGTCTGTAAAACCAACAATCCATCTGAGTGTTTGGTGCTGGAGCCAGGTATGACACCAACCACTGCCTTACCGTGTTCTTCACCCTGAGGGTACAAAAAGAGAAAGCCAAAGGGTGACTCCTGACTGCAAAATAACAGGCTGTAATTTCAACAGATATTTCCTGCTATCTAAAGCTTAGTCATAATTTAATTGCACCTCACAGTTCAGGGATCTCCACTGGACCTTCTGCCCATGAGACACACTGTCTCCTGTTTGTAGCAAAAAGAAAATTGGGGAGGGCTGCTCAGCTTGTCAGGTGGCAGCCTGCCTGTCACCTGAGGTTTGCCTATATCACAGAAAATCTATTTTTTATTCCCAGCCATCAATCATGTTGGACTCAATGTTGTGTTAGGCCGGTCCTGAGAATTCTACCAACTTAAGGGAAGCTAATGTGGAGAGAGCATTTGAGAGACTCATGATGTGCTTCTTGCTTCTTAAAGACAAGGGGAAAACCTTAAATTAGGAAAGGATGCAATGAAATAATGGGATCTTTCAGTATATCAAACACAAAGTGTTTTCTTCTCCTTTCATGAATTTCTTTCACTTTGGTTTGTTTGCCTGCTGTGAAAGAAAAATTCTGCTTTTCAAAGCCTAGTACCTTCTTTTTTGTTCTGACAGGTCTGGATGCTATTATGGCTGAGAGCACTGATTATAATGAGAGACTGTGGGCCTGGGAAGGCTGGAGGGCTGGTGTTGGCAGGATGATGAGACCATTATATGAAGAGTATGTTGAACTTGAAAATGAGGTTGCAAGGCTTAATGGTAAGTCACTTTTTGTTTTCTTTCTGTTTCTTTTTTTTGTTTTGTTTTCCTTCTGGCTTCCAGAAACTAGTAAACATACTGCAGTCTTACACAATTTTCACAGGAATTCAAAACACATACATAATTTGCACATAATTTGCTCTTGGTGTGCAGGTCTCAAAGAAAGAGGCAATGCAGACAACTGTCATTCACCAGTTCAGAGGTTTCTTCCCAGCCTGGAACAAGAGGCACCTTTTTGTTGGCACCCTTCCTTGTTAGCACTTTTCCCAAAGGCCATAACTCATCAGTGCCCCTCATTACATACCACCCAGGACTACACCATTTGTGATTTATGGACAAGCACACTCCATTTAAACAGCTTCTGAGTGCTGCTGAGTTTTGGTGACATCTCCTCTTTCCTAGGGGCCTTGGCCTTCTTGCAGCAGCCACAATCATTGGTACATTTATAAGCATTATTCCCTAGCTGGAATGATCAGATTTGGTAGGCCTGGGACAGCAGGTACAGCTGAGTGTTCACAAAGGATTTTGTACTAAGGAATGTGTTCTTCCAGTTTGAGATCTCCACAAATCATATGGAACTGTCTTTTCAAGGAACAGCAGCAGCTGCCTTCTAATTTTCTTTTGGGGTCGTCTAAGATAGTTTCTGAAGCAACTACATCATCTGTCTCTTGGCCAGACTGCAGCTGTATCACCTGCTTTCCCATCCTCCTTGTTTTGAAAAAACTGTCAAGCTGGAGATGGATGATAAAATATGGCCCAAATAGTAAGACAGGGAAAAAACCCAAACATAGTCATTATGGGCTCCTCCATACCACTAAGCAAGAGACTTCAGCTAGGAGCCACTTTTACTCCAGGCTTGATGGAGCTCAGTGGACTGGAAGACTTAGTGGAACTTGGAGCTGAATTTTCTGGTGTCTGCATGTGTCCTGGTGGTTTAGTTTCTGGAGGAGGGGGCCCATATTCAATGTCCACTGGTTTATGCCTTCTGTGAGAAACCCTTAGCATCCAGCCTGAGCAGAGGCCGCTGTCCCTCACAGCCACAGGAGCTCCAGTCAGGACTCCTGATTTCCTTTGACCTCCATCAGAGAATGACCCTAACTAGCAGATAATCACGACATCAATTTCTGAATTTACTGGAAATCTTCCATACCTGCATGTTCATGAGACAGACCCTCAGGGAAGCTTTTTCCTCTCTGCTAAACCCAAACTAGCATTTTGATGCTTTGCTTTGGGGGAAGGCTGCAGGTCTGCATGGGATCCGCAGAGAGCTGCACTTCCCCTGCAGACCTAAGCAGTGCTACATGTGGTGTCCTCACATGATGCATCCATGCTTTACAGGTTATTCTGACTATGGAGACTACTGGAGAGCAAATTATGAAGCAAAGTCTCCAGAGAAGTACAAATACAGCCGTGACCAGCTGATTGAAGACGTGGAGAAAACATTTGAGCAGGTAGAGGCAGGAAAAGTTCTCATCTGGGTTGCAGGGTTGTGTTTTGAAATGGTGGGCTCATGTGCTGATGTTATGAATGAAGATGAAACCTGTTTTAAACTGGCTGATCTTAGTCTATGTGGGTTTAACAGAAACAGATGTGAGGAGACATACATGGCATTTCTACCTCTGTAGTCATTCAAGGACCAGCTTGGTCCCCAAAGGCTGGGAAAGAGGGAGCTCTGCAGGTCCATGTCTCCCCTCCAGGTAGGGTCCGTGGGGTAGATGGCACCCTTGATATTCCAGCTCAAAAGTTAGCAATGCTCCCTCCCTCATACCTGAGCAGGACTTCTGAGGCTGGAATCTGGACTCAGTGCCTGACCCCTGAGGCAGGGGGCAAAACTCAGCTGCAGGTTTGGGATGCAGTTATCTGTCAAGGCTCTCTGTTTAGGAGTAATGAGCGGAATAGAACAAAGTGAAAATAAAAAATTGTTTTGTTCTCCTCCTCTGCCTCCAGATAAAACCTCTGTATGAGCAGCTGCATGCCTATGTGAGACACAAGCTGGGGCAAGTGTATGGCCCTGAGCTCATCAGCACCACAGGAGGCCTCCCTGCTCACTTGCTGGGTATGTCAATGCATCCATGTTTTGCAAGCCTGACTTAATGCATGGGACAATCACCTTCAGGGCACATGGGTGGAGAGTAATCTAACTGTTTAACCAGGATATTAACCAAAAGGTTACAGATAAGAGAAGGGTAGAGGGGAAATGGATGAATTTCTAGCAGAGATGACACAAGTGCTTAGCAGCAGTGGCAGGAAGGGAAGGCAGGTTCTCATCCTCGCCAAAACTCACATAGCACAAAACTTTAGCACTTGGCTGGGACATTTCCCTCCCCTCTGCAGCACTTGTCTTCCTTAGAAATGAGAGCTTCAGAGACACTTGTTTTTCCTTTCAAATTTTAACCTAAGATCCCACATTTCATGTCTTGGCTTTCAAATGATGCAGCATTAAGCTGCCATAACAGTTGTGTACCTGAACGTGGCACAACAATCATGTGGACTAACAAAAAGGATGTTCAGTCTTCACTCACCTTTAGGAGTATGATCAGTCCTGAAACTATATTATCCAAGAATTGCAGATATTGGGTAATAAAAGGATCCTTGATCTGAGTTTGACCTATGCATGACCTTCCAGATCTGCTCCCCTCCACAACTGGATGAGGCCTGGTTAGATGAATAGGAGTCCCTATTTTTGACACTGCACAATTTATAGACCTGTCTGGCACCTCTGAGCAATACATAATAAATAATTTAAAGTATTTCTTTGTTTCTTTCTTTTTATGAAGGTGATATGTGGGGTAGATTCTGGACAAATCTCTATGCCTTGACTGTTCCCTATCCAGCCAAACCAAACATTGATGTAACTTCTGCAATGGTTGAAAAGGTAAGACATGCCTTTATGCAATATGCTTTATGTAACAAATCTAGAGGTAATAAAAATTATGCACCACATATCAGCTGCTCTCTAGAAATCCATGGCTGCCCTCAGGCAGACACACTGCCAACAAAGTGTTGCATTTTTGCATCCTTTTTTTTGCTTTTCACCTTTAAGTGCTTATGCATTTTTCACTGTACCTATCCCCTTAGCTGTTCTCTGTTTTACTGAACCCTCTTTGACCCCCTTAATTTTGTCTCAAAGTCTATTTTCCTCAGAGACACTTAGCCATTAAGAGATATATTTTGTACTTATAAATATTTCAGGACTCCTGGAGTGGGCTGGTATCAAATATGACCTTTTCCAGTCATTACCATAATCAAATAGTTTGTATATCACAGTTTGTTTTATTTTTGTCAGTCTTGTTTATTTGTATACAGCTAGAGAAACTGCAATGCTGCCTGTTTTCTTTTGATAACTGCATAGCACCATGAGGTCTGTGTCTGGGATCTGTAGAGCTAGCAGCTGTGACAGCACCTTTACCAGACCAAGAACATGGGTAAAGATAATTCCTTATAGTCTTGCCAAAGCCTTTCTCCCTTTTTAAAACTAAAGGGTGATAGATGGAATTTGTTTTCTGAAATGCAATGGTTCACCTGAAATCTGCTCTCTTCTCAGGCAGCAGTCCATGGAAATGGTATGCTGGTAAGAGAAGGAATAGTTGAATTTGATTCATTAGCAGTTTGCATAAGTCTGCATTAATCTCACCTCTGTTTTACACTACTGACCTCCTTGTAGTCATAAATATGAGTCTGTTGAAGTACCACTGCAAGAAGGGAAGCATTATTTACAGAGCCTTTGAGCAATGTGGGGGGTTCATCCTTGTTGGTGGGTGTGCCCCATTTGGGGTTTTCATCCAGATGAGCTGTTTGCCACCCAGGTGTCTGTGAGAGCTCAGTCTAGTAAATGCAGAGCGCCTGCTGGGTAGAATAATAAAACCGCTGAATGGCAAAATTATCCTGAACATAACCATGCAGTTTTAATCTGATAAGCAACTCCCATAGATACATTTGCCAGGTTTTATGGTTCTGGCTGAAATCCCTCATGCTCATCTGCTGGGAATGCAGCTCCACTTCCTCAAATGAGTTGTCCCCAAGTTGACTGAAGGGTCAGGTCACAGATCTGACATATTACTGCCAGGAATGCATTTTTTAATCTTACCTTATCTTTTATTGAGAGCTTCTCTGGTCTGGGTCAGGTGCTATCTGCTGAACCTCTGAATACAGAAGCCTATTTTGTTTGCAGAGAAAACAAAAATTCTAAGGGAAAACTTAATTCTAGTTTCCAGCAGAATTCACAGAAGTGCCAAAGGCAGACACTACTGACTTTCTGTCGATGGGCCAGGTGCAGCTGTGAAGCTCCTGGGAAATAAATACAAAATCAGCTGCCCTGTGTTGAGCAGGGCAGTGGGAACAGGCTGCATGCAGAAGCCGAGGTTAATGGTGGCACTCTCTCTTTCAGAAATGGGATGCAATTAAAATATTCAAATCTGCTGAGGCCTTCTTTGTTTCCATTGGCCTTGATCCCATGACTGAGGGCTTCTGGGAAAACTCCATGCTCACAGAGCCGACAGACAACAGGAAGGTTGTGTGCCATCCTACAGCATGGGACCTGGGCAAAAACGATTACAGGTACTGAAATTGCTATGACCCCTTTTTGTGCCACCTCCTAATTTCTCCTTTATTTTTTTCTGGCTGAAAAGTGGGGAGAGGAAGACAAGAGAGCAAGGATGCTGTGACACTGTAAACCCTTCTGTGTAACTTTTTCTGTGAAGATCTACTCAAATTTACTAGTAGATCTACTCTCAAATTTTAGCTGAGATGTGACTAAGATTTTTATGAATTAGAGAAATATTTACTATGTTCTAGGGCTTAGAAAGCAGAAATTCAGGTGGATACCATTGCAATTTGTGGGCTGCACATTTTGCAGCAATGGCAGCAAGGGAAAATCTCCTGAGAGTCCACTGTCTATCTTTAGCAGAGTTATCCAGTTTCATGAAAATCCATCAGTCTCTTCCACATCTGGGAAAGGAGTGGGACAGCAAGTTCCCACACAATGCATACTTTTCACAGAAATTCTGACCCTTCTTGCAGTCCCCACAGTTACCCAGGGAAGGAAACTGATGCGCAGCAGAGCCTTAGTGAAACACATCAGTGTCCCACCTCAGCAGTCTGGGGAAGGTGAAAAAAAACTCTATTTGGAAGACATTCCTTTAGTAAATTTAGTACCTTAGTACCTACACAAGGATGAAGTAGCAGGAGTCACCAACACACAGTTTTATAAATTACTATCTTACTAAGATTGCTAGTGGTTAGTCACGTCCACATGTGCAGTGAGTTTATCACCAGGTTTTAGGGAGCAGCTCTTCTCACAAAACAGCAGTTTTCTCTTATTCCCTGGACAATTTCAAGGTGGCTGAAGGTGTTTTGCTGAGTTTCCCATGAAGTCTTGCTGTAGCAGGAAGATCTGCACTGCATACCAGGACGCCCAGGTTTTGCAAGAGGCATTTGCCAGCTCTGGAGGGGCTTTGCCCCATGGCTGTAGCAAGCCGGGCTCAGGCTGCCTTTCTCTGGGCCCCTCTCCCTCTAACCGCAGACATTTTATTCTGGTGTGTAGGATCAAGATGTGCACCAAAGTGACCATGGATGACTTCCTGACTGCACACCACGAGATGGGCCACATTGAGTACGACATGGCATACGCAGAGCAGCCCTACCTGCTCAGGAGTGGTGCCAATGAGGGCTTCCACGAAGCTGTTGGTGAAATTATGTCACTTTCTGCAGCCACTCCTCAGCACTTGAAATCTCTTGGTCTCCTAGAGCCAACTTTCCAAGATGATGAAGGTAAATAAATGCATAAATATTATGTATTTATATGAAAGCACTTGCTGGCCTTATTTTGTAGCAGAAGATTGTGCTTGCAAACTCAGCAAGCAACTGACAGGCTTCTGAAAATCTTACTCCTCTAATTTACTGTATTTTTCCCCAAATCACATTGTGAAGCAAGGATCACTGCTTTACAATGCTGTTACATAACTTAAAAAGAAATAGCTAGCACTTCACTGCCTTCAGTACTGAACAACCCATCCTTAAATCTTCATAGTTCATTTAAATGGGTCTCCAAAACTCTTCTCAATCTCTGTTGCATGAATACATACATATCTCTATCAAGATATGTATTTAGCAGTTCAAATGAAACTGAAACCTTGAGATTTACATCTTACACTTAAGTGAATATTGAGTGACAACATAGGTAGGCCCTCATTATAATGTAGTTCATCTGGCTTCTGAGTACTGCCTTAGATGGACAAAGATGCACATTTTATACATTCTGAGATGTCTTCAGCTCAAAATTCCTTGAAGATGGGAAAGGTTCTCAGTGATAACATTTAGGTAAGTAAATGTTATCATTGACTGTTGTCAAAGGACTGGATTATTTAAGAGTTTGGGGGAAAGAAAGAGACACAAAACAGTGTACAATTCCTAATTTATCTTACGTTTTTTCCAGTAATATTCTTCCTTCCACTTTTTCTTCAGTGAAAATCTGTAATTCAAATGAGATGTAAGCATTAACTGTAAAGGGAAGCAATTTTAGCCATCTAATCAGATACTAATTGCTACCGTAACCATTACCTTAACTGCTTCTCTCTTCAGAAACTGAAATCAACTTTCTTCTCAAACAAGCACTAACGATTGTTGGAACAATGCCTTTTACTTACATGCTGGAGAAGTGGAGGTGGATGGTGTTTAGGGGTGAGATTACAAAGCAGGAGTGGACCAAACGGTGGTGGGAGATGAAGTAAGTTTGAGAAACAGAGGGGACGTTTTTCATATGAACCTGCAAACACAACCCTAGTTACTCAACATGGTGAGGTGTTTGTGCCTCCATAGGGCAGGAACTGTGTCTCTGAGTGTTTCTGTAAATACCAGTAGAGTGCCAGATAGAAATATACAACTGTGATGCAGACAATGTCTCATAAGCCATGTATCCCCATTAACTCTGTGTACAGCCCCTAGCAGTTTACCCTACCTCTCAAAAGACTTTCTCCCTGTTTCTAATGTCAGCTATCTGATAAAGACAGCCCATGGCCTTTGCATGGCCTCTCTCAGATCAACATTGCTGTCCCCCTGACAGACTCCCCAAGACATCTTTGCAGCTGAAGTACAGCCCTTCTCTAAGTGTCGTTGGTCATGTGTGCTGGTTTGCTCCCCGCATCCTTAAGGACAAGTGGAAAGTGAAGTTCATTGTACTTGCCAGCCAGAGAAGCATGCAGATCTCAATCCACCGAATATCTGAGCACACTTCTCTGCTTTGTGTCTCCTCCCCACCTATAGTGCTTTTGGAGGCAAATTGTCTGAAAGATTTCAGACTGAACCTTTCCTTTCTTGTGTACTAAGATACCACCTTTCACAGTAAAGAAAATACAGTTCCCTGGGCAAGTAACAGCCAAAGGTGCCTTTTCAGATTATGCCCATCAATCAGTCTATTTTCAGCACCTTGGAGCACAAGATTAAAAATAACTATGATTCAGAGTGGAGTTTGTAATTTCCCAGGTTGGTTTTAATATGAGAGCAGAAAAATGCAAAGAAACCAAACAAGCCCCACACTGAAAATGGAGCCTGAACTCTAACACTAACATGAACAGTAAGCCTCCATCAGCAATCAGAATCTATAATAAAACTTGATATATGCAAGCCTCCTGACCCACTGTAAAAATCAATCAGCTTCAATGTATTCAAAAGTAGCAGAGATGTCAGAGAAATATAGAATGACAGATTATTCAGGGAAGCTTATGACATCTGTTGCAGTGGCATTGCAAAGCACTCTACTTGAAATACAGGTTTATGAAAAATATATCCATGGAAGCTTATTACAGTTTTCAGAACTCAAGGTATGGGTTTGTTTCTGTAGTACTTCTCAGGAAACACAGTCTCAGGAGAGGAAAATAAAGAGAAAGCTCATCTCCAGCCCGGTGGCACAGGAGGCCATTTACCTTTTGGTTTGCCCAGTCTCTGCATGCCCTTGCCCAGAACAAAACACAGGTCTCTAAACTCGGGATGGCTCAGGACATGAGGTGGTTGTGTGAAGCTCATGTCTTGCAAATTATTTCATACCACTAATTGGTCCCTGCACATCGTGCTATCAGAAAAATCCCTTCCTTGCACTATGAGTTTCCAAACAGTTTCCTGTCTGTGGTCTCTAGACCTGCTCTGTGGAGCAGAACTTGCATGGGGTTACTGGGGACTGTGTGGAATTCTTCTGTTTGCAAGTGAGAGGTGTCTGTATGTATCAGACAAAACAGAAGAAAAGCTGAGTCAGATTACCTTTTCTTATTGTCTATAAACAGAAACCCTGGTTTTTTTCCTTCATCTGCAGGAGAGACATAGTTGGTGTTGTGGAACCAGTCCCTCACGATGAAACCTACTGCGACCCGGCCACACTGTTTCATGTGGCCAACGATTACTCCTTCATAAGGTAGTGCAGTGTTTAATGCACTTCATAAGGCAGTGCATGAAGTGTTTAGTTACTTCATGACTTAAGTTTTGTCTACAGAACAATCCCCAACTCCCTAAAACATCTGCTGGAGACTCTCAGTACCCAATCTTATTTTGTTTAAAGCCCAGACCGAAGGTTGCTGGTTTCAATGGGAGTGTTTCTCTGCACATCGGGGGTGGTTTCATAATGATCTCTGAGCAGTGAGGAGGCTGTTGACCCTCTTGCTGAACAGAAGAGTTTCACGCTGCCATCAAACCAGCAGGAGCACTTCTGTATGAGGTGTTTGTCTGCTGTAGAATCACTGTGTCCCATGTCACTTGGGCCATGAACATGCAGCCCTGGATGTCTGCTGTGTCCCAGCCACCTCATTTTAGAGGGCTCAGAGCAGAGAGCTGGGCCTTAAAAGCTTTACTCTCTCCTGATTTATGTGGCAACAAACAGATTTGGGGCTCTTCTAGCCCATTTGATCTTGGCATTTTGCTAAATTTGATTTAGATTAGCGTATAAATACAAGCTGGCCTCTCTCTGCAGTGCAGTTTCCCAAACAGGAGTGACAGCTGATGCAGCAGAGCTTTCCAAAGGTCAAAGGCTTCCAGGTTTCCTTGACAGTCAGCTAATACAACCTGTGCCTCCCTTTTCCTTGCCCTTCCTTTAGGTATTACACCCGCACCATCTATCAGTTCCAGTTTCAGGAGGCACTTTGCAGGGCAGCTAACCATATTGGCCCTCTTCACAAATGTGACATTACCAACTCCACTGCAGCTGGGCAGAAACTCAGGTAACAAAGCACATTTCTCATACATAATAAATCAGAATATTACAAAGCTTCTGGAATAAATGAGGTTGCATCAAGAATAAACCTAGCTTGTAAATTTAGCCTATACCTGCTCAATTCATTTTGACAAGTTGACTAAATTTATGTATGCTAAGGTTCTAAACGTCAAAAGTTTAATTACTTGTTTGTGGAAATAAAATATTTTTATTAATAGGTATAATGGGAGAAAGAAGTGAATCAGAAGCAAAGAGAAACACTTTTATACTGATCACAGAGTGTTTTTCTTGTCTAGATGGAACATGGCAATAACATATTACTTCTCATTCCACATATACAGACAGTTGCTGGCAGTAGGGAGATCCAATCCCTGGACTCAAGCACTGGAAAGTGTAACAGGAGAAAAATACATGAATGTAGCTCCCCTGCTCCACTACTTTGAACCTTTATATGAGTGGCTGAAAAGGAACAATTCTGGCAGATTCATTGGCTGGAAAACAGACTGGGCTCCATGTATGTATAGCTTGTGGGTGATTTAAGGACACTAGTTATTCTTTACAACCCTTGGTTAGCAAAGTCCCTCTCTTTTGTAGCTGTTGGAGGCTATTCTCCCTGGAAAAACAGGGTTATGGTAAATAAACACTGAGCTGTAAGTTTTACTCACAGGAAAACAGTTTGTCTTCCTCATGGCCAGAGCTGGAGAAGTCAGCACGTGTCTTGGTCAGAGACCCACTCAGTTCTCAGAAATGGAGGTGCCTTTTTATTTCATAATGACAGTACTCAGAGTGTGGGATGGCTCTACAGAAGGAAGAAATATTCAGAGGTTTGGTCTTGTGTGGCACTTTCCTGAGAGAATGTGCCTGTATTGCAGAGCTGGGAACCACTGGTCCTGGCAGCCAGGTGTAGGGGCAAGCCAGTACAAAAATATTACTGCTATGCTTTTTCTGACATGTGTTAGTCAAAGAGGGGAGTTCAAGGAGAGGAAAAGGATGAGGCTGTGATAAAATACGTTTTTCAGCTTATTGTGACACTGAGTGATGACCCAGCCAAGTTATATTTGTGTAATGATTGCTGGTACTGGAAAACACTCTAACTCTTACAGCCAGTCTCTGATAGTGGGATTCACCTAACCAGGCATCTGCATCTGCATCTAAGCTGCTCATTCCCAGTGGTGGGAGAGATTAATTTTCCTTTAATCTGCTACAAAACCAGATTTGGGAACTGACAGCTCAGATGAGTGTGTTTGCAGTAGAGGTGACTGAAGGGAAATAAAATCACTCCCACTGATAAAATAATAAATAATAAAAAATAAAATCTCTCCAAGGAGAGCAAGGGAACTTCTAAGGAAATTTTAGTCACCTCAGCATTTCCCAGGAGCAGACTTTTTGTTGCTGCAGCTCTAACATGGCCCTTTTTTCTTTTTAAACCAGATTATAGCAATGCCATCAAAGTGCGCATCAGCCTGAAGTCAGCTCTGGGGGACCAGGCGGTGAGTGTGTTCATCCTGTGGCATCCTTCTTATTGCTTGGGCAACAGAGGTGTTGTGATAATGGCTCAGAAAATGGGTCAGGGAATGGCTGATCTCTGTGTCTGAAGGGTGGCATCAGCTCAGGTGGAGGGTTATCACATGTCTTGTCTGAGTTTATGGTCAAGGTTCCCTCTAGATTTAATGGGAGAACTTCTCCAGGGAGTGAGCCCACCCATTTTAGGAAAGGCATCTCAGCTAGATGATTTATTCTGTAGAGATACCAATCATGATTTTTCACCTCCTACAGAGCAGGCCTGGAGGGCTAACATAGAGGAGCCTGTGTACATGAAAATGGCTGTATTTTCCCCATTTGCTGATGTGTCCACGTAAAGCTTCTACCTAATTTCTTCTAATTGCCATTGTCATGGCTATGGTGGCTGCCTTCAGAAGTTACTAGAGCAGCTAACTTCACATTTAAAACAGGCTGGTGGATCCCACTCACTGTCCTTGAATGCTCTTGCTTTCAAACTGAAACACATCTGTTAGCATTTCTTTGTAGATTTTTATTTGGCTGTTTACAGTAATATTTCCAGGCCCTGATATATTCAACTGCCTTCCTGCCCTCCCACCCTGATGCAGAGACAGCTTTGTTATTGAGAGTGTAGGGGACAGTGCAGGGCAGCTGCTTCTGTTTCAGATGAGGAGAAGGGCTTTCATTCCCAAGAGCTTATCTGCTTTCCCCAATTATACCAGCTGGTCCAATAAAATGTATTACAGCAATGAAAAAATCTCATCAAAGCCAAAGATGGCTTTTACGATTTTAAGCAGAGCATTGGCTTAGCCCATCTGCTTAACCCAGGCTGAAAATTCACTCCTTATTCTAACTCTTCCTCGTTATGCTAATCTCATGGAGGCAGTGTAGAAGGTTTAAGTGCAGACACTTCATTCCTGTTAATAGCTATTTTCACCTTGCAGGACATTAGTAATTTTCCAAGAAAGAGTGTATCATCAGGCAGGTCATTTAGACCTGCGTGGTGGAGCCTATTGCACTAGCAAGGACACAAACCATGGGCTCATTTTTCATATGAACTGATGCTTTTGCTTCAATCACTCTCTCACGTGCAAGCCCCACTGGAGTTTTATTGCTTCCTAGACTGCCTAGTTGAGTTAGATACAATTCAAAACTGATATCAACAGCATAAAAAGGCTCCATATTACAATACGTTTATTAGTCATTATGGTTAATGTTTAGCTTAATATCATTTTTATGCCTGCCTTTAGCTATCATAGTCTTTTGTTGTGCAATTGAGCAGCTGTAAAACAATCTCATACAGATTACTTAATTTGAATTATTGTATGGACAGTAGGTTCCTAAGCTCTGAAGAGCAAGCCATGCATTTTCCTCTCAAAACCAGTTCACATCACCAACTTGCAAGAAACCTTTTCTATTCGGTTGCTTTCTGCCTCCCCACCAATTTCCCTTTTGCTGAGCCCCCAGGGACATGGCTGAATGCTGCTATGGCAGCAGCAGCTAATGGCACATGCATGAACAACATGAACAGGCAGGGGGAATCTCGGGCAGGAATGTCAGCCCAGCGACACAGAGCAAAATGTTTTGGCTGCTTTGCACAGCTCACAGTGCACAGAAGCTGTGGGCCCCGCGTTGCAATTGTTTGAGTAAGGTATATTTTGAGTTGCTTTGCACTGACCTAACAGCATAAAGCACTCTGAGTATGCCAGCAAGCAGTTTTGTATTTGTGCTCGTTAGCCCTGGAGAGAGCAGGCAGGGAAAGATTCCTGCTTTGAGCTCAGGTGGAGCTGTGCTGGGCACACCTGCAGCTCACACAGCCTCCAGGCCGTGGCTCAGCCCTGGCTCTTACCAGCAGGGACATTTCGATAGCCCCACGTTGTGGCAAATTGAGCATCCAGACTCTCGGTTGGGCTCAACGCCAGCTGTACCAGAGCGTGCACTGCCTCAATTACCCTGCTAATTGTTTTCAGGCTGATGAGATTAGAGCTGCAGCCGCAGCATCGCTGGATCACAGGTGCATCTGGTGATGAGGCTGAAACATCCACAGCTTTGCTTCAGCTGGGGGGGTTTATGCAAGTGCCCGCAGGAGAAAGTGCTACAAGATCCCACTGAATCCCTTGGGGTCTGTCATATTTAAAATAAACAGTTCCAGGAACACCAGCCCCTGGCTGCCACTTGAAAACCAGACCCCACTCCAAACATGGATTCAAAATTCTCTACCAGGTCAATGCCATGTGTGTGATCACAATGCCATGTGTGTAAAGGGCTGTCACACAAGACAGTGTTAGGCAATGGAGAGCTGTCAGCCTGAGGGCATTTAGATGTATTTTACAATGAAAAGTCCTTTTTGAATCACAGGCACACTTACACCGTGTTTCAAATCACATATCGGATCTTGGAGTGAACACCCTGTAACAGAGGCAGAAGTTCATTTCTCTCTGAAGCACAGTGTACAGTGGGTGCCTGAGATGCCTGGGGAAGCTGTGTGAACAGTCATGACTCAAACACAGATCAGAAGCCAGCCAGGTACTTCCCATCCACACAGCCAATAATAGTATTTATAAAGGCAATTGAGAGGCACAGTGGCAATTAAAATACATTAGACTGAAAAAGACAAAATATAAGTGAGAGAAATTAATAAATTATTAAAAAGGTAGCATGCTAAGTAGAGAAAGCTTCAGTAGAGGAATCAAGCTCAATTAGATCCAGGTAAAAAAAATAATAATAGAAAAGCAGTACTGCCAGCCTGAAGATGTTGGGCATAAACAGAAAATTGAGAAACCCCAGCAATAGCCTCTTAGCTGTGTAGTGAACAGTGCCAGCTGCCGGAGGCAGCAGCAGTAACAGGAGGAGGTGCTTCCAGTGCAGGGCTGTGCAAGCGAGAGACAGCCTGGGGCCTTTGCCTCGCAAAGGGAAGTCAGCCTCAGCCTTTCCTGGTGGGAATGGCCAGGGCTGGCACAGCCCCTGCCCTCCAAATGCCCTGAGGACTGCTCTGATTGCCGTGCCCTCGGGTACCTGTGCCTTTCCCGGGACTTGATCCTGAATGGACTGACAGCAGTGGGTTCTTCCTGCCCTTTCCTCCCCTTTATCAATAGAATCAGGACTCTTTAGGTTGTGAGGGACCTCTAAAGATCAGCTAGCCCAACCCCACTGCAATGAGCAGGGCCATCTTCAGCTAGATCAAGCTACTGTAAGCCTCACCCAGCCTGACCTTGAATGTTTCCAGAAACTAGGTATCCACCACCTCTCTGGGCAACCTGTTCCAATGTCTCACCACCTTCATAGTAAAGAATTTCTTCCTAGTAACTAATCTAAATCAACTCTCCTTTAGTTTAAAACAATTACTCCTTGTCCTATTGCAACAGACCCAGCTAAACAGTTTATCCCTGTCTATCCCTGGCTTCCTCATAGATGTATAAATATACATCTCTCTCATTTTACATCAGTGTCAAGAAGTGGACACATTTGAAAAATGTAGCTGGGTTTTATAAAGCCTGTTACAATAGAGCTGCCTTCTACCACAAGTTCCTGAATAATACTCAAGAAAGTCAGGAGCTGACTGTCTTATTGACTGGCAGCATTTATAGGCTATCCTTCCCAGGTACCATAAACACAATCAAATCTATGCCTGAGGGGAATAAAAAGATATTGCCACAGAGTTCAGTTGGGAATTTTCCCTTTGTGCACACATGCTATTTCACAACAGACCAGGCTGCTTTATCACCTCCTGTGGTGGTTTTTGCCCCCTGTACAGCTCTTGGTTCCTGCCCCAGAGAAGCTGTTTTTGTCTTCCACTGCGAATAACTTTGGACTCATAAGGCAGGCCAGGAGAAGCATGCACATAGGCAACAATTTATTTATTTTTTTTTTATATCACCTATCTATTTTCCAGGGAAAAAAAACAAATATATGCTTACTGCAGAAGTACTGATACAAAGAGTTTTTTACCAAAACAGACCCCAAACAAAAATCCTAGCTCATCACGCAAATAAATTAGCCACCTTCACAACTACTCTACCACAAAGTTTCTCCTCCTTAACAGAACAGGTCTGCAAATAAAATTATGTGATTAAAACAAGATCTAAATAATGAAATCTTTGAATGTCAAAGAAAATGCACAATATTTAGTAGGAATAGCCTCGCTGTTGCCTTTTTTCCCTGTAAGTCACAGAGGTGTACTGGGACTGCAGCATCTTCATCAGTCCCATATAAAGGTGCTAGAGATTGCAGGGGGACAGAATGATGTCTGGCAGCAGGGATGCCTCCTTGGTTATCCTCCTGCACAGTGCCCAGATTAACAGATCTAAAGGGTTTGGGTTGGTTTCTGATGTGCTATCATGGCACAAATAAGTAATACTGAAGTGCATGCCAAACATTACGGTTGCTATTTCTTTTTAGAAGGATTTCTTGATGTCTCTAACTTCTTGCCCTCTCTGAGGAATTTCTCTTGTGCTGTTCCTGCAGTATGAATGGGATGAGAACGAGCTCTTCTTGTTCAAGTCATCTGTCGCCTATGCCATGAGAAAATACTTTGCAAAGGTGAAGAAACAGGAAGTTGACTTCCAGTGAGTGGCTTGCTTAATTGTGCCAGCTATGCCTGCATTGCTCCTGCTTGGCTAATGACAGGAACTGGTGGGATTAACTGTGCCTTCTGCCAGCTGTAAGGTGAAACAATGAACAATATGTTCAGCATGAACAACATAACAAACAATGAAACAATGTCAAACATCGGCTCTTTGTAAAAGGCAAGATGCCAGCTTGGGTATATGGTATCTTTCCCCTCAAGAGCCTGAAGTTTAGGAATAATGTGCTAAAGTTAGGTAAGAAGGCTTTGTCTCCCTCAGCTTATCACTGATGGAGATGAACATTGACAATTTGTGCCCAACACTTACATCAGGATATCAGTAAAGGTACACTGATTAGAAATAAACATTTCTAGCTATGTATGGGTATTGTGCTGAATATCCAAGGGGTTTGGGGCCAAGGAAAGACGAACATGTTGACTGTAAAGCACTAGAATTTGGTACACACTTACTAATTTTATCTAGGTTCAGTTACAAGCATAAAATCTTCCACCTGAAAGTGATTTTGGTAAGAAAAAAACCCCTTTGATTAAGTATCTTCCGTAATGTTCAGAAGCTTTCTACTTAAGCTATTAGACATTATAGAACATCAATCATGTAATATCTAGAATCTGCTCTAGAAAAATAAGGAAGAAAGCTACGTTTTTCCCACTTAGTACTTCATACATCACCTCATTCTTGAGATCAACCCCAAACATTCTCTGTTTTGCAAGTGATTATGTGCTGTGGAAAATTACACCAAGACTTCCTTTACGTATGAGGGAGACTCTCTCCAGCTCAAGTTACAAATTAGCACATAGAAAAAGGAATTCTGGCAGGAAAATTGATTTCACTTCCCAGCTGATTTCACTAGGAAACATTCCCCCAGTGTAAACTAAACCCCTGGCAATGCCAATCAAACACAACTGTTCACTTGCCCAAATTTAAAGCTAATGTCATCTCAACAATGAAAATAACCTTTTCCTTCTCTTTCCCCTTCAGAATTGCAGACGTTCATGTCAGGGAGCAGACACAAAGGATCTCCTTCTACATTACTGTCAGCATGCCAGGTGATATCGGTGATCTTGTGCCCAAAGCTGATGTGGAAAATGCCATCAGGTGAGATTTTTTCCTCTGGGGAAAAAAACCAAACAACCAAACAACCAGATGGAAGGTTGGAAGGGAAAGCAGTGCTTAAGTCAGCTGAGGCAGAAGCAGTGACAAGAAAGTAAATTCTGCAGTTAAAATGGAAATAGTGGGATGAGAGACACTAGGATGAAAACTGTTATGACAGAAAGAAAACAGACCATCTATCAGATGGTATCTTGGACAACAGCCAAAGTAAAATGCTTCAGGGGACTTGTAAAATTGCCAAAACACACCTCATTGCATCAGACCTTGCCAGCAAATCTAATTGCTCAAATTTTAACAGGAACTATTCTATATACTGAAATATGGAATACAGTAATGATGTGTGCATGCACACGTGTGTTCTTCCTCTCATTTTTGAAAAGTCAGTACAAGAATTATTGTTAACAAGGACTCCAGAATAATGGTGTACTAGAAAGACAGCCAGATGTATTTGATTATATAGAGGAGGTCAGAGCAGGGGCTAGCTCCCACTTACAGGTCAGTGAACTTACAGGTCTTTCATAGCATGGTGTGACACCACTGTAATTCATTGCTATAAAAATGATAAGTAAAACTGCAGCTCTGCAGAAAATTGTGGGTAATGTGCAGTAGGAAATGAAGAGGGCACAAATCTAAAAACAGCATCAACATGATATGGGGTTGAAGAAGCAGTGAGATAAATTGGTGAACTACGGGAAAAGAGTATGGCTGTGAAAGTTACTCTTGGGTTAGCGCTCAATAGCACACGTGGAAGTTTAAGGAAAAACAAGGCACAGATGATACAGCAGGGAAAGGGTCTTCAGGGCAGTGAGAAACACTAGTCAAAATTGTTTAAGATTGTAGGAGGGAAACAGGTAAGATGTCAAAGCTGTGGTTTTATGTGGCATAACTAAGAAACTTTTCAATAGACAAGAAATAGTAAAGAGAATGAAGAATACAAAGAGAGAAGGAGATCAGAAGGTTCATTTGATAAATGTTAAGACTGAGTTTAAGAGTCCATAAAGTGTCTGAACATGTCGGTTAAGCTGCAGTAGGTTAAGGGTTTTTTAAGTTCCTGTGGTTGTCTCTCACATGCCAGAAGGAATATGGGTTTAGCAGTACCTCCTCTGCAGCCTTTTCAACTGAACAGTTCAGGGGAAGCTTGGCCTGCTGGAGATTTATAAAACAAATGAAAACTGTTCCTTTCATTCCAATAAATGTATGAAACTCTTTGAATTTGCATTCAATGGCAGTATGTCTCGAGGACGAATCAATGAGGCTTTCAGACTGGATGATAATACACTGGAGTTTGTGGGAATACTTCCAACCCTGGCTGCACCCTATGAACCACCAGTAACCATCTGGTTAATTGTATTTGGGGTGGTCATGGGTCTGATTGTCGTTGGAGTTATTGCCTTGATCATCACTGGGCAAAGAGATCGCAAAAAGTGAGTAATATTTTTTGATACTATGCTCATGGCTACTGGAAGATGTCTCGATAATTCAATCATAAGGATTTTTAGAAATGAGGCTTCAGTTTTACTTGAAGGAAGTTAAGGAATGAAAACCTGTTATCCCTTTCCCATCAACACTGCTAGCTAAAGGTTCATCTCCCTGTTTCTCAGTACATGACAGCTTTGGCAGCTTAATGCAATTTCCCTGTCACCAACAATTTAACCAACTTTGTCCACAGGGAGCTGCAGGGCGGCTAGGCTTCTGCCAGTCCTGCTGCAGGGAGGAGGGGGTGTCCTGCTGGGAATGTGGTGCTTTCTCCAACAGCAGGGTTGCCCACATTCATCAGCACCTGTAGTTTTCTGTAATCTGATTGTAGGCTGTATAGTAATAATATTTTCCTTAAATATTATTGCATTAACAAGGATAGCTTGGTTGGTTTTCTATGTCCCTCCACTAACAGGGTTTCTAAGAACATAGCAGATTTGCTACAGTTCTTAAACCTAACTTGATTTCTTTTATATAAATATTTCCAGTTAAACACAGTATTATTTACAGTCAGGAATTCTGGGGATCCAGAAGGACTTGAACAGAACAGTGATGATCTAATATAAAATGAATTTTCATTACAGGAGAGCAAGAGAAAGCAGAGGTGAAGCAGGATCAAATCATGAAGAGGTGAACCCTTACGGAGAAGAGGGAAGAAGCAACCTGGGCTTTGAGCCAGCTGAAGAGACACAAACATCATTTTAAATGGTGTGGGTACAATAAGGGCTTCTGCTTTTCTCTTCATTTCACTTTTAACAATAGTGCCTAGCAAAGGAGCAAAACACTATGGATGTCATCAAACAATGTCTTCTGGTTGACCATTAATCTACTGGTTCATGGCCAAAGCAACTGAATCTGCTCTCTGTGTGGTAACTAGAAAACATGCATGGCTTTTCTATGAATTATGTGCATAACATTACACACCATCTGTGCTGCTTTTCATGTGTGTGCAGCATCCAACTTTTGTTTCCTGTGTAATGAGAAACAAAGGCTTGGAAGTATACAGTTGTATACAGACCAAGACACACATAAAAATAACTCATATAGTCCTGAAGAACATCTTGATCTTTCCAGATGGAGACTTCAGAAGTGTTGAAAAGTGATGAAAAATCCCTTGACTATCAGAAGAACCTTAGTGATAAAGAACTCAATTTGATATAACTGCAATTTTTGCACCTTCAAGAAATCTGTATCAATGTAAAATGGATACTGGATGAAGACTAACAAGCACTGGAGGTTTATTAGAAAATCATAAGTTATTTTTCTAACTGTTTGCTTGATAAGTATTGTAGAAACAAAATAGCCCATGCTCCCTCAAAAAAAGAAAAAAAGCTCTTTTATGTTGTATTAAAAATGGAAACTTCCTAAATACTAAATGATCAAAGTGGTTTTGGTTATTTTTCCCTATACCTTGGCCATTGCCTCCACTATTATAAATACTGCATTACAAATGCTGTGTACAACAAATACAATTTTGCTATTACATACAAGGGACAGTAGATTGAGGCTTGGGAAATTCTGGTTGCACCTGAGAAACAAAATCAGTTCACATGGAGGACAGATCAGCACTGGACCAGGTTTGCTATTCTGTACTCTGGGAGAGGCTGTGGGATCTCCACCTTTAGAAGTGTTCAGAGATCAGGTAGGTGAAGGTGTGCATGATGGAACAGTGGGGATAATCCCACTCTGACTGAGAAGAATGGACCTCCAGAGGACCCTTTCAGCCAGATTTTCTATGATTCTGAGTCTTGAAGGTCCCCCACTGTAGCTGCAACCATGCCAGTGTGTTTTCTTTATGTATACACCCAGTCACTGAAAACCACAAGGTTTTCTGACAGTCAGTCCCAGATTCCGATAAAGAACCAGTAGCAAACACGATCCTGCATGAAAAATGCTCAGAAAATGCATGGACTCTTAAAATCAAGGGCCTCCAAAATGATCACAATCTGTAGAAAGCAGCCAAACATTTATCTGAAGGGTACATCTGGGCTCTATGGCTTCACATGCTCCACATTCATTTCCTGTTTAAGACACAAGACCCTTAAATGAAGCAGTTCAAAATGGCCAGCAGATGATGCTTAATTAATTAGCTAGACACTAGTGCAAAGGAAGGAAAATACTTTTTTAAAGTTGCTTATCTATACCACATATTCCATTGTCATAACAGTCCCAAACCTTAGTACTTGAGCTGAACTTTTAGGATAAATAAATCAACTATTTGTGGTCTTCCTACTTACTTTGTAGTAAAACAGAAAAGAAATGGCAATTCTGAAAACAATCAAATACAGTAATTAGTCATGCCAGCCATCTTCAGATCTGTTGTAAGAGTAACTTTTTCATTATGACAAAGCCATAATTTCAATACAATTAATTTTAAAAGCTGTGCTATGAGATAAACAAAAAACACCATTCAGAATTATCAACACATAAAGCTGCTATAAGAATATGGAAAAACATAAAAAAAGACAACGTTTATATGAAAAAAATCACTTGCATGCATTAGGCCCACCAATAGCTCACACCTTCTGTGCTGGGGCAGCCCTCCTTCTCCTGCTTTCTCAGTGTCTGCACTCCTTCCTGACCCTTTTTCTGAGTCAGCACTGCTTGGACCAGGTTGGTCCATGGGCAGCATCAGATCAAGCCCTGCACAGATTCCCAAGGTCATTTGCATCACCCCAAATGCAGCTTTCCCTCAAACACACCTGCAGCTCCCCAGGTAACAAGGATGTGCTCTCTGAGCCAGCTTCCAGTGCTGGGACCAAGCAGTGCTGGCAAGGACAGGCATGGGAGCCTCTGTCTGGCCAGAGACCTTCATTTCTTTCTCCTCTTTCCTCACATGTCTGCACCCTGCATTTCTTATTCCTTAGGTGAGCTCAAACTAGAACTGCAGAGGGGTCCCTGTTAGGGCTGGGCCAGCTCCATCAGGAAAGGGGCAAGCAGACATTACTGGGACTCTTATGGGCATTGCATGCTGAACTGGCTCAGATATGAGGAGAGAGAAAAGGATTTATTTCAGAAATTACTCAATTTTAAAGCCTCATTATACATTATTATTATACATATCAGCATTTTACAACTGTCAGTGCCTAAGTTTAGATGCCTCTGTTACGTGGCTTCAGATGTATCTGTATCTCAAGACTTGCTGAAGTTAGCACTAATTTTTGTAGTGCTGAGCACATTTGAAAATTGGGTACTCCTATTTAAGCACTAACATCAGAAGACAAATTTCAGTGCCTCAGTAGTAAAGTATTTGGCTAAGCAATAATATTAATAGCATTTTCATTTATCTTCAAATTTTTGCTTCTCAAGTTTTATAGAGATCAGCAAATTTACCATTTACTGTTGAAATGACTATAGAATTCTGCATAAAACATTATTTTCTTTATTTTTACCTGTTATTGCAGGAAGCACTAACACTCTACTAGATGCCTCATATGTTGCTAAATTGAAAATATCCTAAATATGCAGCTTAGAATGAATTCCAAATCAAATATATACCCTGCGGGCCAAAACTAGAGTCAATAACACTGGTGAGAAAACAGATATAATATTTTACCTGTAGTAATTTCTAAGTAATTGAAAGTGAGACTATATTTCTTTATGTTGCTGTCACTTGCAGTAGTTCTAAATTCAACTTTAGGTGTCAGCTTCAAGTGATTATGAAGAAAAAAACACATTCAGATGAGTTATGATAATCAGAAAACCTAGCAAGCATATATTTCCCTGTTGACATTTCCAGTTAAGGCCAAATAATGACAATCTGGAGGCACTGAAGGAGTGCACATAATTGGTATATATATCTCAGTGTCTGGGAAGTCTTTTGAAAAAATGCTAACAAAATAAATTATATTCTTTCACAGTATCCTTCCAAATTCTGTCATCCACAGAGTGTCAGAAATGCTTTCTCCATATGCTTCTTGGTCAGCCCCCTGATTAAATGAGAAGAACACTAAAATACAGAATAATAAGGGTGGCTAATGTCAGGCAGATTTCAGGTTCAGCTCTTGTATAGCAGGCAGGTGATGTGGAGCCAGTATGCACAGTCATCTGTTTCTGAATCTTATTTTTCAAGCTCTGTTGCCTTCTCTCAATGCCTCAAAAGAATGGTAACAGCTGATAAAAGGCAGGGCGCTGTTCTGGTAGCTAAATGAAGCAAAGATGATAGGTATAGTTACCTAATTTTAAAATAATTCAGATGCTGTAATTTGCATTCATTTTTCTTGATTTTAGCATGCAGAAATTCATAGAGGGTGATGTCGCTACAAATTTCTACATGCTAAAATAAAGTTGCAGGAGATAAATAAAATTTAACTTACTTTTTATATCTATTTTACATTGTGATAGTTTAATCTTCTTTCTTTGCACTAATATGGCCTCTAATATAAGTCACTTTACTCATTTTCCTGGCAATTACATTAAAAAAAAACAAGGGAACATCACAGTCATTTCATGGTGTAATCAATAATGTCCAAAACAGTTCTTTGTTGCTGGTGAGAAACAAGTCCTGGTCTACGGCAGCTGATCAACATTTCGAAGAGGAACAATAAATCAGGATAATTTTTGGCGCAGAAGATGAAGATCTCAAAATAAAAAGATCATAATCAGCATTTGCCTGACAGCCCCTAGAATGGATGGGGTAACATCCTTCTGTTTTAAGGACAGGGTTGTTTCACACAGATTAAAACTGTATGTTATAAAACTGGATGTCTCCTCTATGTCTGCTGTTTAAAATCTCTGTACAGGAAGGCAAATATCTTCTATTCTGTGGCTGCTAAGAGAGAAAGGGCAAATGACCACAGGGAGGTATCAGTAATGGTCCTGTAGTCATGGAAGAAATTTAGTTAATTTAGCTCAGCACACAATTTTTAAACTGTTAAAATTAGGTGAGAGGAATCTCATCTTGTATTTGTTGATGTTGAAAGGTGTTATGCTTAAATATGTGCTTCTAAACAACCTGCCTTTGTGCCTCATTTCCTGTATTAACCATGTCCTGAACTAGGTAATGTAGAATGTATTACTTACAAGCAATGACTTTTATTAAAGGATATTTTCACTATGAGCATCCATTCAGCTATCAGCAGGGGCTCATAGTGACTCCTGTGATTTTGTTTTCTCCAGTTTGTAGGTGCAGATGTACATACATCATACACACCTCATACCAGCAGTTGTCCATTTTCTGGTAGGTGATGTTTGGAACCTGCTGTGGTCTGTATCCTTGAGAAGTTTCTGCAATCATCATGAAGCTCATAGGGCTGCTTTCCCAAAGTAAACACCTCCCACATTAAGACATGAAATTAAAGTCAAGAAATACAAGATGAGTCCTTTTTCATGGGACAAGATACACATGCAACATCAAAATGATCAGACTCTGAGAATATTGTCCAAAAAAAAGACTGGCAAGTGTGGTTCTGTACCTGAACTTAAAACAACTCCTACTCCATAAGAAGACTAATTTAGATGATGAAGTTACAAAATACATTTAGTGGGGACAATATTGGGCTGACTTTTCTACAGAATACATGCAAACATCATCTTACATATGTGTGTGTACACAGAAGGAAGGAAAAACGAAATTACAACTATAGGTATCTATGTCTTTATAAAATAATGAGAAAAATATTACTGATTTTTTTTGAGTGGGACATACACTTCCTTGGTATCAAAAAGATTTTCAAGTGTCAGCTGTATCCTTTAAAAGCTGGAGTACACAGAAGCAATAGAAACACTGAATAATATCATAATCACTAATTCATAATTATAGCCTTGCATGAAATAATTTTGTGTGTAAATTAATATATGTGATAAATATGCCTATCCTAAAGTAAAAAAAAAATAAATAAATTGGGAAATATTTATTTTATAATGATATATAATATTGGCTGTAATTTTTTTTTTAAAATAAATTTGTGGGATCTTTGATTTCACTCCAGGTTGAAGACTGGAGCATCGTAGTGTTACAGTGACACTAAAATGGCATCCAAATCCCAGCTTTCTTTGATGAGAACATAAAAAAAAAACAGGATTCTTTGTTCTCTTACATCTGCTTTTGGGATATGAATACATCAGTTGTATTCTTCAGCCCTTTAAAGGCTCATTAGTTAAAAAAAATCAAACAAGAACTGACTGATCCCACAGTCCCCTTGCTTCCACTGCATCAATGGATAGTGTTAAAATGAGAAAAATATCTTCTAAGGAAAAATAAAATTTCTCATTGAAGTTAATGCCAATATTGAAGTTAATGAAAGTAAAGCCTGAGGCCAAGATTTAATCAATAGGAGCAAAAAGAAAATGTATCACCACAAAATCCAACTTCTGGTTTAATTGTATATATTATAAACAGCTTGTAAAGGGCATGAATGAGTTGTTTTTCTGCCAGAGTGGTTAACACTGGGAGACCAGGTGAGGTTAAAGATAAGAAGCAACCCAACATTCAGAAACACTTTTATCTGCTTAATTCACTGTGGTTCGATGCCAAGAACAGTGGGTTGCCAATCTTTCCATCAATTTGACAGCTGCCAAAATATTCCTTCTGGAAGAGCAGACCCAGATAAGTGGAATTCAAGCCTGTTCACAAAAGGTTCTCTTTCCTTTGACACCTTTTGCAGGCTTTTATAAACACTGAACAGACTCTGGGGACTTGGAAATCACAGCTTGAAACCACTGAAGTTGAAGTTCAAATGTTTGAAATTCCTGGTGGAAAGTGATCTGCAAACAGATATACTTTACACTGAGATACAGAGTCCCAGCTCACAGAAACTCCTACAGCTGGGCAACACCGATTTATGGTCTAGACAGACTCAAGATTTGACTTGATCTTCCACCACCAAAGTTTACTTGACCATATTAAACACATATGTAGCAAGTGTGGAGTGGGCAGAGTTTCTATTTGCCTAAAAGAAGAATCCTAGGGCTAAAAAGTCCAAATATGATAGGACTTGTTTGCATATAAAAATTGAGCAAGAATACAAGCTGTAACTTCTTTTTACAACCTTTAAGTGTGTTAAATGTCTGCTTAACAAGCTGATGAAGTCCAAATGTAATGGCATATATACATACAAACTCAGATGTCAAATTCAATACATAGTAAAGATGCATGCATCTGACTTGCTGCTAAATTTGGTGTGATGAAAAACTTCTGATGTTGAGCACTCCACTGGAAACTTGGTTCCTAGAGAATTTATACACAGGTTATCCACAACATCTCTAAAAAGCACAAACCAAACTTGGTTGTGAGCGAAATACAGTGAAATACAGTGAAATATTACTTCTTCCTTGAACATCATAAGGGTCCTAAAGAAAGCCTAGGCAGAATCTCAGGTTTCCAAAGGATACCTGATAGAGGCATTACCTATAATCTAGAACAGATGATTGCTATCAGCTTACTAGGGAAGTAATGCAGAATCACAGAAACACCTGTTGTCAGGTCAATCTAGCCCAGCTTTCTACTCGAGTAGGGTTACTCCCAAATCAGGTCAGCCACAGCTCTCTGTTGCTACGTCTTAAAAGGCGCCAAAAGACTGCCATCCCCCTGACCATCATGTTTCACTGTTCCACCACCCTCCTGGGGAAACAATTTCTCTTTTACTATCCAACTTGAACTTCCTGAGTTGCAGCCTATGGCAGTGTCTGCTGCTGCATCACCTGGCACAGGTAAGACTTCCTTGGCTCCATTAGCTTTTTACCTGTAAGTGGCTATAGGCAGCTTTTAGATCCCCTCTTATCCCCCTCTCCTCCAGGCTAAACATCTCTCTCCCTCAGCCTCTTCTCAGAGGACATGCTCCATAGGCTGCTCATCCTCTCCAACTTCTCTTCATTGAGGCCACTGATTAAGATGCTTGGTACCTAAATCAGGTGCAAACTTTGTACTCAAAGTAAACATTGAGATTTCTTCACAAACATGACTAGTTAAATCTCTCAGCTGTGATTTGCCTTTAAGACTTAACTTTTTGAGACATCTGTGTGACTCTATTCTCTATTTTTTATTCTAATTCCATAATAACTTATGGTTATTAATGGAAAGAAAACACAAAGTGCTGTATCACACCCCATCTCTTAACTTCCCTGACAGCCAGCTGCAGCTGATCAGTGCCAGTAAACTGCATATACTCCAACATCAGAGCTTCAAATTGTCAGGCTCCCAGTTCTTCCACCTACCTTGCCTTGTCATCCCAAGGTCAGGTACTTTCACAGTAAGTTTTCTGTCAATCAAACAGTTCCTAGCAGCCTTTAGTGGAGAAATGAAAATAGATGAGTGGAAAGAACACAAAAAGGACCAAACAACATCATGTGTTTGCTAATAATTACTGTTCTCTAGCATTTCAGTGAATTATGACATCTTTGATTTATGCAATTCAGTTTGAAACTGTTGCTCTCTTGTTTCACTTTTTAGCTATTGAATGAAAAATATTCTGTACCATTTTCTGAGCTTTAAGAAAAAAGGAAATTGAAGGATGTGGAACAGAGGTGAGAAACCCACATTCATCTAGAAAAACAGCAACAGAGCAAGAAACTAAACCCTGTATTTTAAAGGCTTCCTACTCCAGGCCTTCTTCAGTAGTCTCAGAATTTACCAAGACATCAAAAAGTGAAAAGTGTTGATTGGATTATTTGCAATACACTACAAACAGAGTGAAAGGCAATTTAAACAGCTTGATTTATGAAAAGTTCAATAGAAGCCTGTTTCTGCAAACGATCACTTGAGAACATTTATCAAGGGCTGTATTCTCTGTGTGCATGCTCATTAACTTCTGTGATACTGTTTGCATCCACAGTTCTCAATCTGAAATCAAGCTCAAGTTTTGTTTCTGCTTTCCCGTAGTGCACGGACAGTTTTCAGGAAACTGATTTTATATTTACAGCTTGAATTCTGCTACTTAAGTTGTCTGATATTTCTGATTTATAAATCAGTTTGTGAAGTATGGATTTAACAACTTTGTTTACACATAAAGACAATTCTTTGAAAGCATCAACAATACAACTAAAATGCTACCTGGTGGGACTGCACCCCTGTTGAAAAACGAAGCAAGTCTGGAGCATAAATTGTCAAAAATCTTCCAACACATTTTTGACTAAAGTTAGAAAACAAAATATTGCTGCTGACTGAAGCATAATGCACCAGAAATTTGGTTGTGTACACTATTATTAAGTCAATAAAATAACAGCTTATTTCCCCAATGAAGGACAGCACTTTCGAAGGATAAGTTTTGCATAAACTTCAGGTACAAGTCCTTGAAATGACTGATCCCCTCATCAAAAGCAACTTGAAATACTTGCTTGCAAACTGGCAGATAAATGGAGGCAGTTCCCACCATTAAGGCCACACTTTTGTGCTGCTAAATTCTATTTCAGGTTTTGGCTATAGGATTGTAATTTCATCAATACTGAGTCTTCTTTTGATGTCATCAATACCAAGTTTCAAAGCAACAAGCAGAAGGACACTCAATCCTTTTAGAAATGGAGTGTTTGAAGTCTGAGATGGGACTGTATCCAGTTTCAACAATTTCTTTAAGTACATTGTATTGATATTTGAAGAGCAAAACTTAGAGAAACGTACAACAATTTCTACTTTTTATTTTTTTTATTTTGGGAATATTAATCATCCCAAACATTTTCTGTTGTACAGTGTATGCTCAGAATTAGGTTCCATCTATTTATTGACTGAATACTTGTCTAATGGCTTTTTGGTCAGCTACCTAGGAGTCATGGGGAGGGACCTTCCTGCCCCTTACCTTTCTGGAAGTATGTTGGATGTCTGTGCTGTGAAGTGGCACAGTAATTCCTGAGCCTACAGCCCACAAAGGCAGTGTGCAGTGCTGCAGACCTGCCAGCTCCACTCTGAAGCAGAGCACCTTGGGATGTGGGATATCCTGGAGTGGAAGGGAGCCACAGGGATCCCGAGGGGAAGAACTGACCCATGGTAGGTCATGCCCCTCCCTGCCTTCCGAGCACCGCTCCTCCAGTGGGATACCTTACAAAAATCTCCCTGCCTGAGCTGACAGCTCTCCAGAAATAGCACCAAAAGCATCCTAACATACTTCCAGAAAGCTAAATTGTGCTGGTGGTAGTATATAATTTTGGGAATTGATTCCAAGCAGTAATTTTCATGGATGTAGTGCTTCTTCTCAGGGGTTTGTACACATTTAATACTTAACTGCTCCTTTTTTACTAATTAAAAACATCAGCAAATGCAGGACATGTCAAAACCTTGCAAAGTGCCTCCCAGCCCTTGTGTTAGTAGATTAGTTAGTTGTTGCATGAGCTGCAATGCTCCAGCTGGCCAAATAACAAAATATGTAGTAGATGTCGCCAGGAAAAGTCATACATTTGCCTCAGCTTGCTTTTCCCTCCTCAGCACCTGGGATGTGCAGTACAGGCTCCCAGCCCACTGGAGGTTCCTGCAGCATACTCAAAGTCTGATGGTTAGTACTTCCAACAGCTACATCTGGAGCAAAAGGCTTTCACATTCTGCCCTTGCAATGGTTCTATATCTAACTTTTAACACCCTCCCTTCCTCCTCTTCCCCTTCCCTTGTCTCTTCCCATTCTTCTTCCCATTCCAGCTCCCATTCCCATTCTCATTCCCACTCCCTTCCTTCTCTGTCATTCTTGAGACTCCTCTATTCCCCTAGATTATGTGCCCGCTGCATGCCTTTGTTTAGATGAGACAATTCTGGGTCCCTGTTTTCCCATTCAGGGAGCCACTGTCATGTTCAAATTCAAAGAAAGAATATGACCTGAATGTGCCCCAGGTTCATCTTTAACACAGTATAGGGATTTTGTTGTTGCCAAGTCACACCAAGCAGCATGTCCATGGCACACTCACAGAAATGCTGCACATTCACTGGATACTTAGTAAGGAGCCTTGTTGAATACAGACACTCTGTAAATTCCTGCCTAGCCAGACTAAACCAGGAAAGTGCCTTCTTTTCCCTAATTAAAAAAAAAGTACAAGAAACAAAGAAGCAATGAGGTATGGATTAATTTCAGTGAGCTTTAGGCTTTTACAGCATTATGTCCAGAAAGAAAGAGACATTAATCACCTGAACTCTGTAAAGGACTACATTAGGACATGATGAATTATGCCTGAGAAATACTTCTGTCCACTAAAGAGAGGGTCTAGGAAAGTGGTTGTGGCATCCCACTATAAATATTTAAAATTAGCCCAGACATGAAGCAAGTTGTCTGCAATTTTGTTTTGTTGGACAGATACAGATTTATAAGTGGGGAGATGAAGAGTTATTAACCTCATGTCTCCTCCAGAGTCTGTACAGTTTATAAGACCCAAACACTGCCACATATAAGAGCCCTATCCACCACACTAAATTTCTTTATATTAAGAATTAATGTATTTTCTATTGTCCAAGTTTTTTTGAAATACTGAATAAGTCAAAAGATTCTCACTGTACTCTGTATTTGCACTGTTTTCAGTCTTTATGTGGTACTCCAATGCTAACTTTTGCTATCCAGCTTTACTTTTGTTAATGGTTTGCCATACTGGACTGGAAATTCTGGTTTTCAGAGTTCATTTAACAGCTACACCTCCATATTGCAGGGAGGAAAAAAGAAACCTAGAAGTTCATTGCTGGGAAGTTTGAAGAAAATTTCCTGTCCCCTAAAGTTAAATAGAGCCAGTGGTATCCAGCATCTTTGGGGACTGGGACATAACTGCCTTTTCCAATCTTTTGGCCACACTTGAATTTCACTCTGAACCTCTTGTTCAGGTCTAAGGAAAAGGAGAGTGAGCCAAAGCTCACAAAGGATCGTGTCCCATCAAAGTTCTTGGTGGCAGAGTGAGAGCAAGCCAAAAGAGGAAAACACAGCATATTCATGAGGAAAGCATGGGTGAGGTTGTGTCCCTTCCAGAAAGGTCCATGGACAAGTATTTTTGCAGTCATCTCCTTGTGCACCTGACTAGTCCTGTGGTGCTGCCCATCCTTGCTCCTTCTCAGCTGCATCCAGCCAACACTCCATGAGCACAGCACTGAGTTTGCTCAGGGTCGTGCTCTTGTCTGGGTGAGCTGCTTCTCCTCCACATTTGTACGTTGTAAAACTGTCTCAGAGGATTCCTCTAGACTGACCTGCAGAAAAAGCCACACTGGGAGCAAACAACTTGGGATTAGAGATGAAAAAAGCCCCCAGAGCTTGAGGGGGAAATGCACTGTGTGGCTTTGTTCCAAGCCTATTTTAAAGGTGCGAAATTTGTTCATTTATGAAGAAGAGGCATTTTTTGAAATATGACTATTAGTGCCAAGTCAGCACAGACATTTCCAACACTATAATACTGCAGCTATTTGAAGAGCATCAGCATCCTCTAGCTACACAGTGGAGCAAAGACGACACAGAAACTGTTCCATGGTGGTTCATATAGAAGCAATAAAGGATATATAGGACCTTCTGACAGAGCAGCTATTAAGGCTGAGCATGGGAGATATTACCTGCATGCCAAAGAGAAATATTTGGCTTTTTTTTCACAGGCTGGTTTCTGAATAAAGTGCAGCAGACACACAAAAAATGCCAGACACTGTAAATATTTTCAAAACTGCTTTTAAAAGTCAGAGGGTAGATCTGGGATTTGTCCTACATATGTGATTATTTGCCATGAGATTATAGGGAAACCACTAGTTCCCATCTGCTTCCCCTCATCAGCAGCTCTCCTTGCCCTAAATACCTGGGTCTGTTCTGTGACATTGACTTTTTAGGGTAACTCCTTAGAGGAGGATGCTGCTGCCCTAAAGTTCTGCCTGGAGCTCTATCAGAAGCAGTTTGCTCCATGTCCTGCAGGCCATGACACAGCTGTCTGCCTTAAACATGGGAGGTACATAGTTCTCTAACCTTATTATTATTATGTAACCCTCTGGTTACATAATATTTAACCTAACTAAATAAAGGGAGAGTTGCCAAATGGGAGAAACAATCCAAACATGCGCTGTAAGATCAGTTCAGGGAGCACCAATGAAAGTCTTTTTAACAGTAGTTCCCTTTCATGAAGCATCACTTTAGTCTACAAGACTCATTTGTCTAAACAACTTTTTCTTTCCCTGAAAACAAATACCTTCATGCCTTCAGGAATCTGTGGGCAGTGATGTTCCCAATGACAATATCTATATTTATTGTCGCTGTTATGATAGCCATACATAGGATACCACTGCTGTGGGTATTGTGGACGTGTAAAGTGGAAATGCAAGCTCTGCCCAAAGAATCTTCTGGTTCTTATGAAGATGGGTTCTGTAAATTCACTCGAGCTTAGCAATACTCTGCTCTTCTGCCAGTGTCAGTTCGCAGACATTGGAGTTTTCCCATCAATGAAAAACCAGTATGTTAAAATTGTGGAAAACATGTGGCCTTCCAATACTTAGAATGGCTTATCAGAAAGCTGGAGACAGACTTGGTACTAAGGCCCACAGTAATGAGGCAAGGAATAGTGGTTTTAAATTGAATGAGGGTAAATTTAGACTGGACATAAGGAAGGTATTTTTCATGAGGAGGGTGGTGAGATGCTGGAACTGTTTGCCCAGAGAAGTTGTGAATGCCCCATCCCTGGAAGTGTTAGAAGTCATGTTAGATGGAGCTTTGAGCAGCATGATCTAGTGACAAACATCCCTTTCCATGGCAGTGACTTGAGGATCTTTAAAGGTCTCTTCAAACACAAAACATTGTAAGATTCAATGACTCTATGAAAAATTCCTTTCTTGTGTTAAAAGTCATGCTACATATACATTTTTTGAGTAGTTATGCAATGGTCTAAGGTGAATATTTGAAAAACTTGACACATATGTAATTGTCTGGATGTTTTTACCACTTGGTGAACACTTAAACAGCCTTATTCCTCCACTGTGCAGTATTTTAGAAAGCCAAATATTCTCAGTGCAAGCCCTAACAGGCAATAACACTACATATCCTTTCAGTGACCTTAGGAGGAGACTGCATCTACCTTTTCAAACATCACAGGGAAGCTTTCCAAAATTGCACAACCCTAGACTTCCCAAACAAATGTCCTTGGCATGACAGATAACAGGAGTTCATGTGACAGAGAAAGAGGCCTCTAAAATAACCTCTTCTACAGAAATAATATTGTCAGGATAATAGAAGAGTATAGATTTTTCAAGGAAATCTCTGAATTTTGTCCAGTATGGCTTATAATAAGAAAATCTGTTCTGTTTCATTAAAATAGTTTGGCATACATCTAATGCTTAAAATGTCATGTCATCTTACTAAAAAGGGAAAGATGGATCTGATCTGGACTCCTTTTATCCTGCACTGGACTACTCATATAAATACATACAAAATCACAGGAGTGCTAGCAAGGCAGATTTAATGTTGAAATAAAGAGTACAAAGATTGAAATCCCAACATCATAGTAGTCAGTGACAAAACTCTACTGATTTAAATGGAACCAGAGTAGTTTTTATTATTGTATGAGTCAAGAAGATAAACCTTATCTGATTCTAAGCATTTCAGGAAACTTTATGCTCAATACTCAGAAGGTTATTTGAAAAAAAAACCATATTCCAGAAGCATTGCCTAATCTTTACTAGACTGGTGTGGAAAACGTTAAAACAGTAGATGGCTGCATATTGGCTTATCATCGTCCCAAGGCAGCTTTTTCAAGTACTTGGTAAAGTCCTTCATTCCCACAAGATAAGCAGTTCCTGGTTTAGATGTCATACATGACTGCATCTTAAATTGGTCACTTAAAACAGGAAAAAGGATTAATCAGAGAGCCATTTTTTAGAACACCACTAACAGAAATGCTCATGGTTAAAACATTTCTGCTTTTACTTACCATGCATAAAAATACAGAAGCAATTTGTTTTAGAAAGTTGCACTTCAATGAAGAGCTCTTTTTGCTAATCATTGAAATGGTTTCTTCCTCTGTGGTTGGTTTAATCGAGTGGGAGGTTGGAGCAGCTGTTGCAGGATGTCCTCATGTGCCATCTCGGGCGGTGTGGGGGACACCAGTGACTCCTGGCTGCCTGCAAACTACCCAAGGCTGAGCACAGGCTCAGTAGGTTGGCTCAGCTCTCTTCCCTGCACAGTGACAGATGGAATTGAGAAGCTAGGTGAAATATGGACAGCTGAGCTGCTCTCAGGCATGATGGATTTGTGTTTTAGGGGCCAACAGGCATCCGTAGGTTTAAGATATTGGACTGGATGTCGTGCCATCAGAAAAATAAAGGGGAGGGGAATAAATTGCATTTATTATTCATATATTTCAATATGGGCAAAGAGGGAAGAGTTCCTTTAACACAGATGTCAGTAGCACAAGGAAACTGAACTCCTGATGTTTGTTCTTACTACATTCAAGAAATCGAAATCTTCATTCTTTTTTCTCAAGCAGAATTTAAAGATTTTTTTTTTTTTCTGGTGTATATGTGACTTTTCCTTAAACCATCAAGACTGCAAAAGTCTTGGTTTCTTGACCCAAAGGAAAAAAAACTGTAAATGTCTTGCCTTTCTCTGGATGTGTTTCTGCTCCCTCATCCATCTTAGAGCCCTCTAATCAGGCTCCATAAGAAATCTGACTGTATCATATATTTTTACATAACCATAAATGAAGGTGTTTAGGAGCATATCTTGGCTTACCAATTTATCTTTTCCTTTGAGTTGGTGGGGTCATGTGCTGCTTTCTTCATCCACAACTGCATGCAGTCTTGTGAGTCACCTCAAGTTTAGTGTCCTTTTTTGTTGGCTTTCTTCTAATTGCACACCTAATCAGGGAATTATGAGCAGATCAAGTAATTTCAGTCTGTTCCAAAGCAATTTGAGCATCTCCTAGCCCAAAAATTCTTCCCTTCCACATTTCTATCAAGCACGCAAAATTAAACTCAGTTAGTATCCATCATGAGACACACCAGGAACTTTCTCTCTTCTAGGCAACTCCTGTTTGTTGTACTGCCTTGGTCTCCAGTGAACTCCTGAAGTTGTTCCTCATTTAACAACTTAGAAAATGTGCTCTTTTCTGCCCCTGATGGATATTAACAAAAAATATTTTAATTTACTGAAGGGACTTTCTCCATTTTTGAACCTCTAAAAGAGTAATAAACTCTGTGCAGGATAGGGATGCCCTGCCTTAGGGGAAAAGTATTACTAAAGCGGAGTAGAGACTGAAGTGACACAGGCTTTGTGCCTCAGCAGTTCCCACAGGTCTCCCATGCTGTCTCTGCCACTGCAATTGTAATAGTGTTGATCTAAAACTGGTTTGCATACACACAAGAGGCAACGTTTGTTAGGAGGGATTTTATCTTTTTATTCATATGAACTAAATAATTGGAAAAAATGTATGTGTTCTGCATAGACAAGTCCTTCTTCAGGGACCTGTGAAAAATAAGGCCACTGGATATCTTAGTTATTGCACTAGGCAGTGGCTGCTGTAAATTTTATTCAACCTGCCAGCCAAGGATGGCAATGAAAATGGAGTTGTATAGAAGACAACGAGGCTTGTAGAGCAATGTTTAAATCTACTGAGGTAATTCTAACATAGATCCTGAAATCTGCCAGGACTGTCTGCAGTCTTGTCTTTGAAGATGAGATATGTGGAAGATTTTGGTCATGGAACAAAATCTTTCTGCAGGGCATATGTACCCTTCCAAATCCCTTACTTTCCACCAGTCAGAATGATTTTCTTGTGATACACAGTATTTATTGCTTCTGACAAGCTGGATAGCTGAATTTCCTCTGCCTTCATGGTTGCATTGAGCCACAGCCATATTCAGGGCTGACTTGTCTGGTGGCAGCCCTGGGGGCAGGATGGGCTTCTGCGCTTCTGATTTTGAAGACTGATGAAATAAATGATAAGGCGGTGCAGTACAAGCTGAAATAAGAATTAACACATGACATGTACATGATCACTTATATCTTCAACATAGCAAACATATATAATGATTAATCAAATTAATCAAAGCTCAGAAGATGGGCACAGGCATGAAGTTTTTTCCTTTATCCACTTAGAATGGATGAGAAAAGCAGCCCAGCCACTGTGGTTCACACGTGAGAGGCAGGTGAGGACAGAACCAAATTCCATGATTATGACACCAGAAGCATTTAACTCTGAGGGGAGACTGCCACTGCTGTAATAGGAGGCTCTTGTTACCAGAATTATGGGATAGACCTCACTTGTGTCCCAACCCTGCCATCTCTCTGAACTGTTGCAGTTCCTGAACTCTGGACACCACTTGGTCAAATTTTGCTTTACTATAACTGTGATGGGGTACTGTTGTATCAAAAGATACATTCAGAGTATTTTAAAAATAATTTTGGAGGTTTTTTTTAATGGCTTTTGATCAATTGGGATGTTATCATAAAGCACAACAAGCATTAGTCAACTGTTTATTATTACTCACTGGAAGCAAGAAGCTATGCTAATTCTAAATCACTTATTTTCCTCTACATGCTTTTTTTGCTGTTTCTCTGCCAAGCATGTTTGGTATAAGGAATGTCTCTCCCTGGTGCCTAGCTCTGCCTGGGCACAGCTGAATGAAATTGGTATGTGGCTATGGGATTCATCTTATGAGATTTTAACCCATTACTTCACATGAAATATGTCATCCTACAGAAGTGTCTACCTCTCATCAAGGATTGTTGAGGATGTCTGCACAAATGACTTGGATGAGAAGCCTGGCATTAAAGTTAGGTGACATGAATCAAATCATGGGCAAAAGCCTGTCTAAAATGAAGGCACTGAAGTGCATTTAGAAATTGGGGAAATGTCAGACATCACAATTCTTTAATTAAGAGCAGAAAAAACTACACTTGTGACATTGGCAGCTAAGGATGAGAGAAATAAGAATGACTTAGGAGAAAAGGCTGCAAATGCCATCTATTTATTTATCACTAAAGAACCACTGTAATGCATTGTCAGGAAATAAAGCCAAGTGTCCTTCAGCAGACTGGGATTCCTTTAAATCAAGTCCAAGTGACCGTGGCATTGTATGTATGCTTGCTTTCTATTTATTGACATTTCTTAATTTAAACAAGAAGAAAACACAGAACTGGGTTGAATCCACTGAGACAGAAGACACATTATCTCTTCTGCAAGCAACAAATCTCAATCTCATCTCACTGAGCTCCAATGAGATACTCATTCTTTACAGAGGTATCACTCACAGAAGAGTCCTCTTCTCTTGACTAGAAGTAGATCTGTTAGTCAGGAAGTAATGCTACTTGGTTCCTGTTGGTCATATCTGACTTTGGTGGAAAGGATCTTATAGCTGAGGGCCTGAGTTAGGCAGGACTCAAATCTTAGACTGCCTTAGTGGCTTTGTAGAGTAATGACAGAAATAGAGTCCCCTGCAGTTGTCAGAAAGATGGGAAAAAATATAGTACAGGGATTAAACTGTTGTCTCTTTAGAGCACCTAGTAGAGCAAATTGATATTCAGTAATCATATTTATGAGCTGATGTGCACCTCTGATATTAGGCCTTTGTAATTTTTGAAGAGTTTTGAAGATTAAATTTCTCCTTCAATTTCCTGTGGGTTTTGACCTCATCAGAGTGTCATCCTCTGATGGAACTTTCATCTTTTTGTATGAACAGAAGAAATTAGAAAGCATTGGGAAAAGCAACTTGTGTATAGAATTATTATAATGGAAATTAGTTTTCTTTGTCCAACCTGCCAGGGAAAAGAACAAGTCCAAGATGAGCACATCTGTGTTTCACTGCTGGATGTATATTTGACTGCTGCAATATTCTGGACAGACTTCATTTGTAATCTGGTAGAGATTAATGTCCTGATTTGTGTCCATGTATACAGCTTTCCATGTCCAAAACTGGCTGAAAGCCCCAGAGCATTTCCTGAGTAACTGAGTGGATCTTATTATTGCCTTTATGCTTACAGTGGTATTTTTGTGCTTGTCATAATGATGACTGTGCCTCTGCCATCTACAGAGAGTCACAGGTGAGTCTGAGATTCAGCTCTGATAAGCATATGAGGAATGGTTATTATCTGCAGAACTGCATTCCTATTATACATCTGGAAGCATGTGCTGGACCATTTCAGCTTTCATAAGGCTTGTCCAATACATAACAATGAGAAGATATGTGTGTTCACTCAGTGAACTTCCCTCTGCTCTGCTGCAGCATTGGTCAGACCTACACAAACCATTGTCCATTGCAAAGACAGTGGATGCCAGGCACCAGCAGAGGTGAAAATGTGTCTCAGGCAGGAAGCTCCTGCTTCCTGTGGTTCTCAAAGCACAGAGGAACTGCCCTATGGCCCCCATGAAGGGACCTTTTCTTCCCAACATTCTTTGTAATGAAACTCTTTAGGCACCAGCTCCTCTGTGGGAGACGAGAGGTACAAATACTGAACTGACAAAGAAATGGAGGCATCAAAGGTGCAGGATGTGCGTGCAAAAGTAATGCCTTGTACAAAGGTAACACTGCAGGTCACCTGGGAAGAAAGCAAGGGAGAATGGAAGGGTTTGCAGAGCTGGGGAGGTGAGGGACATGAACTGAGAGGTAGGCAGAAAGAAGGCTGGGGGGATGGTGACACCTCGGATCATCAAACTGAAAAGATGAAAGGACAAAATAAAAATGTGCTGAGAGCTTATAGAATTAGCTCTGTGTCTAAATATAGACTGCTCCTCACCATGAAAAGTCAGTATTAGCCTTCTTAACCTGATTATATCACATGGCTTTGGAAAACGTAGTCAATTTGTTTTACTCAGATGTGGCAATTATTATAGCTTCATTTACTGAACCTGTTTTAGAAGTACCCATCACAAAAATGTCATGTCCCTGCTTTATATACTTTTCATTTTCAAAACATCTCTGAACTCAAGCAGATAGTAGAAATTAGCCATAAAGACTTATCAGAGTCCAGAATGCTCAGCAGCCGATTTGCATGACCGATGATCTCTCCAGATAGACAAAGCATCTCCTGATGGAACCCAGGCATAACAGACCACAATATTCAAAACAAGTTACGCTGCTACATGTTCACAATGCTATTGCTTTCAAATCTATCAGAAAAAAAATGTCAAAAGCTTCTTTGTTCATAGCTTCTCTCTAAAGCTTTATTATTATTTATTCTCAAAGCTCTGTTTTACAGGTCTTGTGATTTTTATCTTCTGTCTCTTGGCAATCTATGTGTCTCTTAAACCTCTGGCTATTCATATCAACTGCATAAATAAAAATTCCAGCTCTCTTTTTTCTTTGTTTCTTTTCGATTAACAGAGGGAATCTGGGAAATAGACCCAAATCTAAATATACAGAAAAGACAAATTTTAAAAAGTGTAGGAAATACAGATTTAAAAATCCCGTGATTTGAAACACAACCTGGTTAAATTTGTTGGAGGCTTTGTAACGATGTATGAATACACAGTCAGACCCTACTCTTAGTCCTTTTGTTTAATAGATAAAAACATCATAACTTAAGACACTTTGGTCTCTTTTTATTGTTATTGTTGCCTCCTTCCCACCTACAAATGTCAATAATTAAGTTGGGCAGTAAAACTAAGGTCAAAGATATGACTATTGCTGTGGCATTTGTCCAGGAGGAGAAGCAGCTAGATGAGGAAATAAACAGAGAACTAAATCTTCAAGCTTTCTTCTGTTCTAAACTCTGTCATCTCCTGACCTTGACCAAACCACTGCTGTGCTGGAGGGCTCAGGTTGAGTGTGAGCAGTGCTTTTTGGCATCCTGGTGTCCTGTTTGTCTCTGGGTCTGTGAAATCCTGCCTTTCTCAGATGCTGGGACACCACACTCTTGGTTTCTGACTGGCATAAAGTTGGGATAGAGACAAGAGCACATAAAGATGCACCTCCCAATTCATTAACTTAGAGGCTGCTTCTGTAAAATTGGGCTAAACAGACATTCCTAAGAAGGCATCTGTGCTCCTGACCCCAGCTCAGAAAAGCACAGCTTGGACTTGCCTGAGGGAAATGCAGCTTGCTACCATTTCTCACCCTGCAGAACAGCTATAGCTGTTCACAGGCACAATGTTTGCCCTGCCTAGCTGCTTTCACTGAGGAGGGTGGTGGAGAGGAGATTTTGGGATCTCTAGGAATGGGGACTTCCTACACACTAGAGAGCTAATTTTGATGGTATTCCCTGATCCCTCTGGAAATAAGCCTTTTACTTAATCAACATTGCTACAAAGGCTGTAGCCAGTACTGCTAGCAGCACTGGCCTTCTTGGCCAGCTGGGCACACAATGGCTCATGTCCAGCTGGCTGCAGTTTTGCTGAAGTTGTTTTCATTCATAGACTCTTCTAGTCTATGAATCAGTGATTAAGACATACTGCTTTCAATTACACAGTGGTCACAAGCTCAAGGCTGTTTGGAGCCATCCCTACAGACAGTCTCCCTGTGCTCCACACAAGTCTGTTAGCAACACCAGGAGCCTCTTTAGGAACAAATTTAGGGTGGATAGAGCACATTATCATGCATGCATTATTATCTGACATAACTGAAATGTTCAATACACAAAACTTCTCTTTTTAGTTCTTGGGTAAGCCATCCATGACTGGTAATGGGGTATTTTCTTGCCCTTGCAGCTGTCTGGAGGTTTCATGGCCTAATTTGCTGTTCTAACAAGTGATTTTGAAGCTACATGAAGCTCTTCAAACTACTATTACAAATCAGTTGACAACTCTGTACATTATTAAATATTCCATAATGATGAAACCTGTGGTAACAGGAGGTAAGCTGGCATCATAAATTTCTATTTTCAAAATTGATACAGGCAGTCTCACAATTGAAAATCAAGTTCCAAATCGCTCACATCTACATTTTGGATTATCTTTTAATTTTGGGTTCATACTTTTTTAGACTGTAAATGTTTAAGACCAACCAATCTACCAGTGTTTTACAATTTGAAATAATCAAACTTTAGAAGACTAAAGCCTGAATATCCATAAACTGCTGTTCCCTCTACCAAACATGGTCTTTCATTGTTAAGCACCTACACAGACCTGAGGAAATTCTCTTCTGAAAATGTGGTACCTAGGGGGGGTCCTGTTGTCCACTCTAGGTCTATACAGATAAAAACTAAAATCCTGCAACTAAATTGTACAGATAACATGTCAGAAAAGCATGTTAAAATAAATTGCACAATGAAATCACATTGTTTAGGAAAAAAAAGATATGAGTTTAGCTTCTAAAAGTGTATTGTTTTACACTCACCCGTACACTCTTGCTCAATTTCTATTGCTCCTACCTGTTCAGCTTATGGGACATCATGACTAGAAGGGTGTTACAGCCTAAAATCATTTTTTTACTACATTTTATAGGAGCTATGATGTTAAATAATTCCATCCAGTTTATTTGGTAGGTAAAAATGTCACTAACTTTTTGATCAAACACCGCAGATATAATTTAGTGTTTTATTTCCCCCTGGTTATACTAAAAGCTACATTTTATAGCAGCTATGATGTTAAAAAAAGCACACACATGAAAAGATATAAATTTAAATAATAGAAATGTGAACTGTCTTAGCCAAAGGGTCCTAAAGAACAGTTACAGAAAAAAGGATGCCATCAAATATTTCTGGATATTCCCATCATTTCTGTACAAACACCTTATAGTCCACATGCAAACTCTTTCTTTCCACTTCAGTTTTCCACATTCGTCCTCCAGCTTCTGGCTCGTGTTACACTAGGCCAGATCAAATTCTCATCAAGTCCAGGAACCTGTCACTGGCGGCATCCAGTAATAAATACTGAGGAAAAATATCTGCTCCAGGCAGCTGTACAGTATCCGAGAATCCTGAGCCAAAGGTGGTGCAGTTATACCTAATACCCCTTGAGAGATATATTTCTACTCTGAATTCATTGTTACCTTTTTAGGCAGATAACTAGAATCTATAACATCCTTCAGTAAGTGTTCCTACAGCTTAACTACTACTGACAATATGAACAATCAGCTTGTTTGGCCTGTTTTCAGCCTATCTTCCTTCAATGCCCACCTGATAATTACTAACATCTGCTTTGATTTTTAGATCACCTTTAGTACTGGGCTGTCTCTGTGTTAGGTCAGGGTTTCATTTCCCCTGTGTACATTGTTTTTCACTCATCTGCACAGAATTTCAAATGCCACTTTACTGCTTTTGTATGTTAGCCCAAAGGGCTCTTGTTAAATGTTTACTCCCACTGGTGAGTACACACCCATTGATCAATGTGCTTCCTCTCCTTATGCAGTGAGATGGTGGAGCCCTGTGAGCTCTTCTCTTTGACATGTTATCCATCCAATCTATTAGTCATTGTCAAGCCTCTCCTTTGACATCTGTTCACTCTCAACATCTTTCCTCGATTATAGTCACCAGAACAAGGCAAAATATTCTCTTGGTGATCACAGCAGTGTCAAAACATGTCGAGTGCTTTTACTCACTATGTGCCTGTTTCCATGTCCAAGGAGACCATTAGCTGCTTTGGCCACAGCATCAGGGTAGGAATTTATGTTTGGCTATCAGGATCCTAGTCTCTTTTAGAAACAGTTTTCCCAGTCTCCCATCCTGAAACTATAGCATACACTTTTCCCTACTTTACTGAATTATGCACTCCTGACATAAATACACTAATTTAACATAAATGTGTCATTTGGTGTCACAACACTGAGGGAGGGAGAAGGAAAATGGAATGACAGCTAGGATCAACCACATAGTTAAATGTTAAGTATATGTCATGGGCCTGCTCTTGGGCAAGGGAATTATTGCAGGGTCATGAATTAATGCACTATTCAGTAACCTGTGACTCACTGTAGCAGCCTGCTGCTTGTGCTGGGGCAGTCTGTCACTGGCACTCCAGCAAGGAATCCGTGACCACTTCCACATCTGTTCCATTGCCCATAGAATTGGGATTGATGGAGGCTCAGGAGGAACCTGAGTCCTACATCTGAAACTGATGAAAGGCAGCAAATTTGATGTTACGCTTTTCTTGTGACATTTAGCTTTTGAACAAATATGCTTTGTGCAGCTGCATCTTCTGATGCAAGGCACAGCCTGGGATTTCCTGAATGAATAGTAATCAGGAAGTCAAGGGGCAGATCCTGCTTTTGGCATTGAGGCCAAAAAAGAGGAGTGGAATTTGACAGAGAGAATTAAAATAAGAATTTTATGTGCTCAATTCTGCTTCAAAATAAATGATAATCACACAGATGTATTCCAGATAAAATCAAAGCAAGTATATAGATAGATTTGTGAACATAAAAGTAACAAGACCTGATCTAAATTCCATGACAATCAGTTAAAATATTTCAGGAAAGTTGCATCTGCACTAATAGGGACTAGTTCTTTCTTTGCTGTAAATATCTTAGAATCACAGAATTGTTTAGGTTGGACAAGAGCTTTAAAACCATTGTGTCCAACCATAAAGTATTAGTATCAGTAGCACTCAGCAGTATCAGGTTAGGTCAGGGACACAATGTGTAACCTTAGGATAACTGGGGTATTTCACAAGAAACATAAATGTAACAAATTTCATGGCTAACCTGAAAAGAATACTGTCTTGCAGGAGGCATTGTTTCCTCAATATTCACTGTCTTAACAAATTGAATTTTCTCAATCCTAGTTCACCCCCCTTCACTTTCTTCCTAAGAGAGACAAAACCACAGCAGATTGTGAACTAATGTTAACACAATATAAAGTATTACAGTTGGAAAATTTTGTATCATTTTGTGCTTCAGGTTTGTCAAATTTTAAGAGAAAGGTAGTAAGAAATCTCCTTGATGCCCTACCTGCACCTAATATGTGGATTAAATTCCTTTCTAAGTCAGTTACAAGACTCAGCCCTACACCTGAAGAAAGCATCTGCTTCAGCTGCAGGAGGGCAGGGCAGAAGGGGGGAATAGGAGAAAAACAAGGAAGAATTAAGGGGAAAACACCTTAAGTGCAAGCCAGAAGCCTACCTGTGGCATTTGTAATTTTGGCAAAGTAATGGAGTTTATTCTCAGTGGGCTTCCCTGCAGTTATGTAATGGGATGTGACTCACAGCAGGAGTTCAAATGTATGAAAAGGAACAAAAGAATTAAAATAAGTTGCCTGGAACATATATTCCCAATGAGAGATCTTCTGAGTGAAAAGCCACCCTTTTGTGATATACAGCCATTCCCTAGGAAACAAGGATAGTTTAACCATCTGCTTTGTGCAGCTGAGGAATGGGATTCTGCACTAATTACACCTCATACAGGTAAATTGTGAAGCCAGTTATTTACATGAGTTGAGAGCAAAGCCTCAACAAGGAAAACATCCCTATCCAAGGCAGTGTGTAAACATATGTCAATGTTAATTACTTGCTTAAGTCCTCCTTGGAAGGACACAAACAGATGCTCAATGGTAAGCACAACTGTAGGGGTTGTTTTGAATATAAACACACTTAAGCCTACAGATAAGTGTTTTCCTGAAATGAAACTAGGATTTGATTCCCTATAATTCAACTCAAAACAAAGGACACTTGTTGTTCTAATACACAATATCTAATCAAGTTTCAAAGAAAAAATGGGAGTGGCACTGGAAAATCTTAAAGTAGCTTCTTTTGAAAAGATATTTCATATGCCTTTGCCATATTCATAATCAGAAGTGTTTGATTTTGTCAGAACAAAGAATCTTTTCTTGTAATTGGTTGGTGATATTTTACTTCTGTTGTGACTTCTTTAAACGTTCTTCTAGAATTGTTTTCTTCTCCATTACATTTCCCTAAAATAACATCACAATTACTTTCATTGTTATTATTAACTAACACTATTTATTACTACTATTTTATTACCATTATTAACATAAAAACAACTATAGAAACTGTAATAATGAACATATAATCATTTTCTTCTATATGTTTTATATGTGGACAAAGGAGGAGTAGTCACCTCCCTTCAGGAAATTTCTCGGGCATTACAGGGCAGGTACTTGCCCTGACTGACTGCAGGAGTGAATGGTATGAAGACAGAAGTTATTTAATCATAGCTTAGAGAAGCTGTAAATGCAATTAAAATATCAGGTTTGATAGAAAATGTAAAAAACCTTGTCATTCCCACTGAAGTTGATGGGGCTCACAGGGGTACAGGAGGCCAGGAAAAAGAATGGGGCAGATGGAACTTCAGCTACTTTCTTTTAAAGCATTACTTGCAGGTCCTTTTCCTGGGGTTTTCACTGTGTGATCTTTATGAAACTTCTTAACCTACTGGTGCTTGAATTAATCAGATCAATTGCTTGAAGTGCCTGGGCTGCTAACATTGTGCATGTGAGAGCAGGTGCCTGATCCACATCAGCTCTGACACTGTGACCACTGAGAGCCCAGACAGGATCAGCTGAAGCCACATGGAGTGACTAAAACCTGCACTTAGTGGGGCTTAGAAAATAGGCCAAGTACTTCCATTACTACTTGTGCAAACACTAGCACAACAGTCTCTGGGTTTGACAAAGCTATGCCAAGAAATGAGTACAGACAAAAGGATTTATCATAATATGTAATTTAATCTAAATACTAGAACCATATGTTCTTTAAACTGCACCTTGCAACACTTATTTGTTAATAAATAGTATTGAAATGTGGGGAGAGATGTTAAATATATCAAATACAAGTTGTGAAATAGTAAAATCCTACAAGGTTCATCACATATGTTTATATAATGGAATTATGAGTACAGTTAAATATAGTCATTAAAATTTTGTTTTCTTGATAAAAGACACATGCTCTTCATTCTAAGGTAATTAACTGAAAAAAATAATCTGTTCAATTTAGGTGCTTGGTGCCTGTGGATATGCCCTTGCAGGGTGAATGACATACTGGATCACCCTGTGATCTAAAAGCATGCATTCTGCCTCTTTGTCTGTGGGCCTGTAGCAAGCACATGACCTAATTCTAAGGGTGCAATAGAAGGTTAAAGGTACAGGTGAAAAGAAACACCTAAAAGACTCAAAAAAGCCTATACATCCCTTATTTCTCTGAAACAGAATGGAGAGTATTAAGCCTTTGAAGGAGCAGCTGCTTACATTGCAGCATGTATAAGTCACCTCATTACTGCAGTGCTCTGGCAGAAGTTTAAAAACATATTACCCAGATTTCGACTTTTCATTGCAATTTGAGAAAGAAAACAATTTCAATCTCTAAAAAAAATTCTTGACAGTGAAACTAAAGTATTTCCTGTCCAGATCCACTGTACAATGGTCCTCTTTTTTCACTTGTGGAAAAGAAACCACAACAGAAGAAATTATGCCAGATGAAACATTCAACTTTTCTTTCTCTCTTTTTTATTTTTTCCTTTTTAAACAAGGTTACAGGTCCAGGAATAAAATATGTCTGTGTTGTACTGCCTTTTTTCTGCACAGGCTGCCCTTCCTCTGTGAGCAGAGTCTCTTGTGCTGAGTCAGGTCATGCTTGCATGGCTGTGCTGAAGGGGATGGATGATTCTTCAGGGCAGAAAGTGCAAAGAGTGGCTTGTGCTGTATACAAATTTCTCCAAGGTATGATAACCTCCCTTTTTTTCTGGTTGTAGCTCAATTCCTTCAACTGTGAAATCTAATTTCTCCCGGGAAGAAAATAAAAAGCCATGTGGAATCAGCTGTAAACATTTGTTCTCTATGATTTGAAGAAAGATAAAAGATTTAAGGATCTCTGATTATTTTTCCAAACTTGAAATTATACTTGTACTGAGGAGAGTTGCATTTTCTTTGCCTTCTGTAACACAGGGACAAACATAAAAGGTTTGTTCTCCCAACAGATCTCAGAAGCTGGGTTTGGAAACTTTCCCTGTCCTTCAGAAAGAGGGTTGTTGCGAGACAATTTCATGGAATCATAGAATCATAGAATAGCCTGAGTTGGAAGGAACACACAAGCTCCTGGAAACTGGCAGAAAGGCCTAGGACATCCTGGAGGCTAGAGGTACTTTCCTTAGCATTCTCTAGCTGCTGCCTCTGTTTCCTTCTCTGGCACAGTGGTTTGGGTATGGTGGCCACCTACAAGCATTTTCTGGCGGTAGCAAGCTGTGGCTCCTTCCCTCCTGGTAACATTGCTGTTCAGGAGAGTGGGCAGCTGGAAAACTAAAATGGAAAGGGACAGCATCCTGACAGGGGAAGCTTGGAGAAGAATTTGGCTAATCTATGGTGGCTGGAGAAATAGCCATGTCAGAAGCTCAGACATGGTGAGCTCACGGTGAAGCTCCTGACTCCCAAACACACGGAAACGTGTCCTCCAGCCGGGTGAAGTAAACAAACTGGCTGGGAAGTGCTTCTCCTTGTGGCTTGGCTCTGTATCCTCAGCAGCACCAGCCACAGGGGTGAGCTGGGAGGGAAGTGTGTGGATGTGGAGGAACCAGGGCAGGGTGGTGGCTGGGACAGAGCAGCGACAGACCTGGCGGGGCAGGCTGGGCAGCATGGGGGTGATGGGGCAGAGGAACAGGCAGGGAAGGGAGCAGCAGCCCGAGCAGGCAAATGCTCTGTTTATTTTAAATTGATGGCTGTGCAGCCCTGAGCAGGGCTTGGGTGGCTGGCAGGGAAGTCCCAGAATCCTGGGCTGGGCAATGGCAGGGCACAAGGGCGGTGGAAGGAGGCAGGAGAGGCAGAGGCAGGGCATGGGCACCTGTCAGTCCGGTGAGCTGTGGGAAACTGGAGTGCTCCCATTCTGCTGCTTGGATATCTTTGAGGAAAGATTCCATCCATCATCTCCCCCAGTGCTGCCCCCAGGAGCAGGCCTGATGCTGTAAGGACACTGCAGCAAGCTATGCTGGCATTCTCCATGCTAAAGAAGGCCAAAGACCCCTTTGTTTCATAGCCATACCTTTTAGTTTTATTATACCTTTTTTTATTAATGCCTTTTAAAAGTGTTCTTTCGCTCAGATTGAGGGAGAGCTTTTTCCTTCATTTCAGGTGAACTGTTTCATCCAATTGAGCTGTTTATTCAGAGCTCTGAAACAACACAGAATTTGTAATAACACAAATTTTCTTTTCCATTCTAAATAATGTAGATGTAGAGGGCAAGAGCTATTAATTCTATGACTTCTAAGTTGTGAATAGACCTGCAAAAACAATACTCTCTCATTATTTACAAATTCTTTTCACCTTTCTGATGAGACATACATTTTTAAAGTTTGAATGTTTTGATAAACTGACCTTTTTCAATCCACTGCACTTGAAGTACAATTTAGTTAATTAAACCGGTGGCGAAACACTATATTGGTGTTTATAATTTATGATTAAGGTGATTCTCACACAAACAGAGGATGAAAAGCAATCTGAAATGAGTCAGGTAATTTATTTTAATATGATAAAAATGTAAACATAAAAATTTTGAACATACTTCCATCAACACACTGTATTTAAATATAGATATCTATAATGTATCCTTTTGGTGTTCATTTTAGCAAGTCATTTGGGCTAAGGGATGGAACAGGTTCCTGATCCTGGTGTAATGGAAACCAGTGAAAGAGATAATTCAAGTACTCAGGAAAATAGTCCTAATAATCTTAATGTTTTCTGCCTTCTAATTTTAGAACATAATTTTAAATGTTGTTTTAAATTATCCTGCATTTCAGCTCTCACTTTTCAGTAAAAAAGGTATCATGTATTTTTCCTCACATGGCAAGACATGCAAGATCTTTGCAATATTATACTTACTGGTTTGTATCTTAAGTGGCAGTCTAATTTCACTCCATGAAGCAAAGTCTGCCCCCTGCCCCTGAAGCTCTCTTGTTCCATCAGTCTTTTGTTCTGTGCAATTAAAAAAATTCTGAGGGATTGAATTTATATATACAGGGTACAAAACCAAAATTACTTTGTGGGGACCTGCCACAATAATTAATTATTTATGAAGGGTTTTTAGTGGGATCTAGCCTCAAATACCTTAAAGTTTGATCATTGAAATGTGTTTAAACACACATTTAATTTACTCTGGTTTAGGATTAGCCGTTTGTTTGCAGTGTGCCTGATGAGTTCTATGTGAAATGGGATATTTTTCCATAGGGTGACCAACCACAGCCCTACCTGTTTGTGTCATGATGCACCTGCCCAGAGCTGGAGCTGTGCTTTGAGCAGGAGGTTGAATTCAATGACCCCTGAAAATCTCTTTCAAACTGGGCTGTTGTGTGGCTGCTTTTGATGGTTGCTAACATTATGCAAACAGTACCTCTTGCAGGAATAGGTGAGAATCTCCTTTGTCTGAAGCTCTCATCAGTCCTGCACTTGGTGGCACAAAGCTGCAGCTGAGGGGCAGACTTGCCTTACAGACATTTAGGAAACAGGAACAGTCTGGTACTCTCCTATGAGCACCAGTCTGCTGCTTTTGTGACCTGAGCTCCCTCTGAAAGCAGGATGGACCTAACATATCTGTTATCCTGTTAATCCATCTTTAAATCATTGAAGTTTTGCAGAATTTCTTAAGCAGTCACCTAGACAAGTAAAGCTAACAATGTAAATTATATACATTTGCATATATCAGGTGTGAAAGAATATCTTCATATTATTGCCAAACAATCAAAGTAACAGATGTCAAATGACCTTAAGATTGCAGCCAAAAATCATTGTAAGGCTTTTTTTTTCAGATCACTTAAATTTTTTTTACATGAACTTTAAAGCTGGTTTTAACACTAATGAGAATGGATTATTTTTTACATACTTGCCTGTTTTCAATAGCAGGAGATTAAACAAACCATGAAATGCTTTGGAATTGCTCTATCAAGGTTTTAAATAAGGTATTT